CAACGTACGGATGGAACTCCATCCTTCGTTTAGTCCCTCGATGATGTGAAGGGGAAGGCGGAATTAAATCGTGCAATTCCATTGCACACTCGCCGTGAGCAAGCAGCGGTGTTCAAGGCTTTGTGTTTTCTCCTCTACACACATCTATAAGCTTCTTACTAATTAATACGTTAATAGTGTAAGCGTTACGCAAATGAGCGTGTAAAAATCTTATATAAAGTAACACGCCTTAGTTTACTACTAACTTGTATGCAATCTTAGGATCAGCAAATTTCTTTATTTTCTAAAGACAACTCAGAGAATCATGTTAACACAAGAATAGCTCGAAGTAGTAAGTACTATGCTTTATTGCTTACATCATGGAACAGTTCGTGCACAAGTGGCTGCACTTTGGTTTGCTTAGTCCACAATTATACTTCAGAAACTGTGTCATTCTGCCAACTCCGATGGCGATACTATATTTTACCAGTTAGAGTAATATGAATTAATAGTAATATGATTCTCTATATTATAATAGTAATATGATTATCCTATTAACATTTCAATGTTACGATGCTGACATGATTCTAGTGAAATCGTAGACAAGTGCAAATACTTGATTGGAGGTTATTCAACTGGTGATGGCCAGAAATAGCGCGATCGCTTGCGGCTCTCCCGCTCGTGGTGCGGTGATGACGCCGAACCGAGTATGCTTCCGGGATACAAACGGAATTGGCCCACTGTACTATCGTTAAAACCGCGCTATGACGCCTAACCACTGTCGTTGTTTGTTATGTTTCTACAACGATATTTAGGCTAGGCCTTCCATCTGCGTCATTCCAAAGTCCAAACTACTTTAACTCGGCTATACCATGTCACACGTCAACGCTAATTCGCGTATATGTTAGCAAATAAAACAACTAAAGAATTAAATATTTTACAATCGATTCAAATAACTAAACAAAATTCGAACGTTGAGACCGAAACAAAAGAGATTGTATTGTTCGCTGAAAATGATATAAAATTAAAATATTGTATTTTACTTTTTATGCTTCACGTCTGTGCTCCTACGGAAATTGTAAAGCTGTTGCGATGTTATTTATAATAGAAACCCATAATTTGTATGTTATGAACCATATACATTTTGATGTGGGGATTTATGTTTTGACTTTATGTGATTGAGGTGGTCGGTGCCGGGCGGAGACGGGTGTGATGCGGCTGTGGCGCTGCCTGTGCGGGCTCCCGACTGTCGTACGGGGGGAGGAGGCCGGAGGACGATATTTATAGAGACGCTGAGACGCCGTGCGCCGGCCTCACACTATCCCACATGTTAATTGGCTACTTGCGCCGCATTTTTCTAGACGTGACCGTTCACGCGACGCCAATGCCGTTGGAACGGGCGCAGAACTTCCGACCGATAAACATTGACACCTATGTAACTGGCCTAGATACGCCACGGTTAACGCAAGGACATATCCCGAAAGAACGCGATGCTGTTATAATGCGTCAAAATAAATTTGATGAAGAAGCGAAAAATTTTGTTGCTAATCATCTTAGTGTCCTAGTATTCAGTTGACCATAATAACACCATCAAAGGCATCCAGTCTACTTGTTTTATGTAGTTATTAGTTTTTTTATTCCCTAATTTATGGTTTTTCTATTAATTTTATCTCTTATTTTTAACTAGTTTTATATCCATCAAACGTTACTTTAAAGCGTCGTTTGTCGTCATCTTTATTTTTTCTTTCCATTTAATACTTTAAATGGTGTGTTCAGATGTTTGTTGTGTAAGAAGCTCACAATAGTCTATATAATTGTGTGATTTGTCAAGGAAATAGCTAAATTCTTAACATAGCGGTCTGAGGTTTTTTATTTTGTTTTATCGTTTTTTACTGTGGCCTCAAACATAATTTATTTTTACGGGTGTAATTTGCTTTGTCAGCTTTGTAACGAAGAGGGGTGAACGAATACATTAATCATTGCTAATGAAAATGAACACGCAGCGAGGGTGTGAACAACCATGCCAAATATTTACGTGTTGCGTTCGCTTACAGTTAGTGAGTAACTTAATTAAAACGCGAAATAGATATCATCCTTGTTATGTATATTAAAGTTTTATTTATTGGAGTCGTAACTCTAAACGATTTTTGTTTTTGTAATATATCAAAACTACATCGATTATATTTGGAATTTAGGTATGCTTAATTGAGATCGTGGGCAGATAGAAGTGTATAATCTATCATTTTACTATACATACCGACGCAGAATTCATGCAAAGCAGGTGGACGGCAGGGCAGCCAACGACCGCGCGACAGACGGTGAGCGCCAATTGATGTTAAAAAAACCGGCTAACTGCGGGTAATATTTGCGTACCGAGAATTACCGTGCCTTATGTACAAAACGTTACGTACCCTTACGTACAAAATGACCTTATTTAAGTTTTTGATCTTATTAAAAAAAACAGGCAGTCGAATTGAGAACCTCCTCCTTTTTTTGAAGTCGGTTAAAAAAAATATTTTATATTTTACAAATGTGTCCTAAAATCTTTCACCTAGAATAGAAGTTGTACAACTATACCAAAATGTGTAAGTCGATAGCAATAGTAGCTCCGACACCGAAGTCTTCCCCATGAGGATTCTTTTAGTATGTGATTTTTTACGACTCTTGATTTCACCAATCAGATACGAAATAAACGTTCAGTAGTTGGACATTTTTTCTCTCATTTCTTCTCATTTTCTCTTCATCTTGAATCATAATTATTTTGAGAATTTTCATACTCTTCAGCGAATATTAATTAGAACACGGGTGACTCTGAATTCCCTATGATTATACGGAATTGTTATCTAATTAGTCGTCACATATCATCAGCCTGTAATAGTCAGTGTTTATCCATCCAACAGGCTATTGGTGGATAAATGATTCACCAAAAAGTAAAAGTGGCCATTGGCACAACGCGACTGTGTTTGGTAATCCCGTTATTACTGCAGTCTGTTGCTGAACAATTAGCTCACCTAAAGGAGGCAACGCATGTTGTCTATAGCTATCCATGTTGCCGGATAACTGGCTCATCAAGAGAATTGACCTTCTGAGGTTTGACTCATCACGCAACAGCGATATGATTAGTGATTTCAGTAATGCTGCACATGCTGAAATTGCTGACCATTGTCTGGATTTAATAGTCGTATTTGGTTGCTTTCTACGAGTATAAACACAATATTCGCACCCGAGAACGTAACCAAAATGAACAGGAAACTAAGTAAATCTGACTGACACTCCAAATTGTTTGTCCAACAATTAATCTTTCGACGTTAGCTTCTTGCATAACTGTTTATTCTTACCAATCGTTTATCGATGTTGTGTTTTAAGTAGGAGGTACGTAGTCGTTACGTTGAATAAGACCTTCGGCCCACGCCGGCTGTTTGTGGGCGATTTGTCAACGTCGTTCCATCCTTCCAGTCCTCTTTAATATTGGAATTTCACTGACTTCACTTCCTGTCACTTTCCTTTGATTTCTTTCAACGAAGCTTATTCCATTTTACAAGCTTAATACCCAGTTACTTTAGTTAGTCATTTTATTTTTCAGGTAACTTTAAAATCCGGAAACAGTTCTAATATGATTAAATATTCAACCAACTATGCATAATTTAGAAGTATAAATTGAACCCTTACAGTTGACAATTTGACTTTAAATATTGTATGAAATCAAGTTATCTTGCAGAGATTAGGCGAAAAGTTTTTGTGTCACGAGTGGTACGACCTGCGGGCTTGTGTGTGTATTTTCGCAGTGCCACGTTCGCGTCATCGTAGCTTTACGACATAGGTACTTTGTGTTACTCCACTTTATGGGCCGGATCACACAGTAATTAATTCGTAAACAGTAATTTGGTGTTCATGAAAAATAAAATTATTATAATTTGTTTGATTGGACTATATAGGATGTTATGGAAGTAGCTTCTTAGTTTTTCATAAATATTTGTAAGTTTTTTTGGTGCAGAACGTATGTATGTTCCTTTTGTTATCAATGTGTTACTTCCATAGTGAGTCATCAAATAAAAGATTTACCGCAACAAGAAATACAACGGCTGCTAATTTCACTGCTTACACCGTACTTTACCAAACAATTGTTTTATCGCGCATTATAATTCTATAGAATAAAATTTCTGTTTATAGCAATTTTTTACCGTAGAATATGCTTTACCGTTGTTGTCAGAATTATTCTTGGTGTCAATATTTTTTAGTTCATGACACACGACAAAGCGTGGGTTCCGTCGCTTGGATTAAGGTTTATGTCACCTGTACATGGCTACCAGTAAATTTGCGGTCTAAGAAGTTTGTTTATTGATCACCCACAAATACATATCGCCGTACACGCCGTACACTTACTTTTTAATTGATTATCATAAGACGGACATAGTTATGAAAGTAACTAGAGACCTTTATATTCTCAAATAACTTTCTCACTCGGCTCGATGGAAAACTGCAGCCTACGTGTGTGGAGTGCGCTAGCGCCTGTGCGGCGGCGTGCAGCAGATCGATGGCTCGCAGACGTTTCGCGTGGTGGCGCCTCACTGCCCCATCAGCTTATTAACATGCGTCCAATGCCAACGTGAATAAATCACATGGTCCCACTTGGCGGGAAAACGGCTCTCCTTGCCAACTTATAAGCGACTGTGGCGGGTACACGTTGACACCTACTGCTACGCTAATGACTGACCAAACAACTGTAGCTGAGCGATGCGTAATTTTGAAATGACTCTAGGGTGTTTCCCCAAATTAACACCGACTATGTGTATAGGTGCGTTCATACATATTTCATTCACTTTGATCTTGTATTTAATGTAGCTCTAATGTACGTCTGTTAATTAAGACACAAAAGTTGTTATGCTTATTCCTAATGACACTTAAGAATACTTCTTCCTAAAAGTGCTTTCCCAACCTCGCTGATGTCTAATATTATTTGGATTAAAACAGTGTCAATATATTGATCGTATACGGATATTTTTATGTTTGTTGCAGGCACAATGGTGGTGGGCGAGAACAAGCGAACTGCCAACATTATGGATGGCATCGAGAATACGGGAGATGTACGGTTGCATGACCATCGCCTGCGACTGAAGCAGAGGTGAGTTTACTGTATCTACGTACATTGATTAATAATAGGTATTGAAAGTTTATCGTCAAGTATCGGCTGCCCCAGAGCAAAACCTAGTAAGGGACAATTTTTTTGAAAATAATTTTTAACGGAATCCTATTCCCTGAGTAATTACTTACCAAATTGCAGTGATAGCCACTTCAAAACCGTAGTTTTGTAAAATTGTAGAATTACCAGAGATTTAGAAACATTAAAACATAATAAATCTAGTCCGCTTCGTGACCAGTAAAAAACTCTTCACTCTTCAAGTCACTTTAACCAATTCAAAATATAGCAAGTATTTGAGACTTCCTAGGTTTTAAAGTGGTTAAAGCGCTTTACTGGGTATTTGAGTTGGCAAATGGTGCGCTGGAGATGTGACGCGGCGTGGGACCTCAAGCTGTTTTACAAAATAATTAATATATACAGAGTGGAAAAAATTTGTGAAACCTAAACGGAAACGGCCTTAAACGCGCTTAAGATAGCTAATTTTACATAAAGGAAACCTTATTTTATTTTTCGTAATATGAATTGCTGTATACTCAGATTAGTTGAAAAGTTTGCCTGAGCCGGGAATTGAATCAACTAAAAATTCCAAAATAATAATAATCTCTCTAATAAAAATTGGGTAGTACAATAAAAGATGTCCATGAAATGTTTAGAATATAACAACTGATATTTTATTAACACGGCATAATTTTTTAATTAAACCTTCTACCGGACAAGACTATTCCATCTCATAATAGCTGAATATCCACTTTTTACCATGATAACTTGAATATCTGAATAGGTACAAACGAAACATTAGATGGCCTATAATATCTGTAGACCTTAAGCCTCTGGATATTTTTGGTGCCATGTAAAAAAAATATGTACAAAAAGTCTTATGAAACTGTAGAAGAATTATTAAGGCTTAAGAGGCAATACTATCTCAGCTCGAATTCAAATTTTTCCCGTAATTATACGGTTCATTTTCTTCTAAACTATATTTATGTGATATAAGGTACAATTAGAAAACTAACTTCTGCTACTTTACACTCAGCCGTGTTATGCACAAACTGTTCTCTACTCTAGAATTCGCGTTTACCGGTCGACAAACCATTGTATTAATCACAACAACGCTTCCAACTCCAATCATCGGGCATTGTTCCAATGGCTCAATTTAAAAATCCATGTTTGCATAAATTTGACAAATTTCTTAAGGTAGACTATTAGCGACTGCATTGCTACTGAATCGCAGATACATCGCGTTGGCGTCGCTGATTAAATTCGCGCGCGTGTGTAAAGGTAGACGATTAGCGACTGCGTTGCTACTGCATCGCAGATACATCGCGTTTGCGTCGCTGCTTAAATAAAAGGTGCCACAGAAAGTTCGTCTCTTTAGACACGTCGTTGGTAAGTAGCGTCACCAGTGAACGGCTTCAGGGTATCGATTCATTCACGTACACTTCTCGGAAGTCAGTGGGTGGTCTGTTACGTCACGTTACCGTCACTATCGTATTCGAATATCATTCGAGAAGGACACAATTTTCCGGTTCTCCTACGTTAAATGACTGTATATTCGTAGAAAGATTAAATAGCAGATTATCGTGCTTCTCTTGTTAGACAACATTTTAATAACGCATTTTCACTTACAATCTTGATATGCAAATTATACACGAATAATGTCCGTTAAGATCCAACACAAAAAGTCTTATGCAGTCGAGGGTCACGGGATATCATGATGTGTGACAAAGATGTTTCAATAATATCTACGACCAATTAATCTTTTTAGCTAAAAAGAAAATATTCATCATCAGCCTATCGCCGTCCACTGCTGGACATTGGTCTCTCCCAATGCGCGCGATTTGGCCAGGTCCTCGGCTTCTCGTATCCATCTGCTGCCAGCAGCCTTTTGCAAATCGCCACTCCATCTGGCCAGAGGGCCTGTCGAGTCGTAGTCTCCACTCAGATCTCGCTTCCCCTCGAGTTATCGGTTATTTGACAGATATGGCCAGCCCACTGCCAGTACAGCTTGCTTACTCTACTAGCTATGTCGACGACCTTGGTTCTCTGTCGGATAACTTCATTCCGTACCTTGTCTTTCAGAGAAACTCCGAGCATAGCTCGGTGAGCGACGTTTAACTAGTGGACTAGCCGTATCGTGAGTCCATGTTTCGAAAAATCTCTCGAAAAAGAAAATATTGCTACATCTATATTTTATCAAACGCAATTATTAAGCATTATGCACTACGCTAAATCTTCACAAATTACTGGACGAGTACATTGTACTTAACCCAATGCAAAAAGGGTAATGACGTTATTGAAGCTTCAAGTGGTGATTAAATTTTAAAGAGGTAAATAGACAAGTGAATGCTTTGACTGCGAGGTCAGTTCATTCAAGTCTTTGTTGGTACTTGCTATGTCGTATCGTGCAACGGGCTTGCACAAAGATGCGCGTGGGTAGAGATTAGAAATACGTGTCTGATCCATGTGTAGTTCAAGCTTAAACAAACCACACGATGTACAGAATAAAAAATGATAATCTTTGAAAAAAATTGAGGAATCTATTACCAAGGAGCACAAGTTGCTGTGAATTATTTCAATCTTATTTATATTAATTTATGTCAGAATTTAAGAGTCATGAAGTTTTATTTATAACCTAATTTACGTGGTGTGTCAAGAGATGATTCGTTTTTATATCGCATCCCTTTTTTGCACGCGTAAAGACACATTCACACACACAAGCATTACTTCTGTATGTATGGAAGATGTCATTTTGAATTTTATAAATAACATCTTATTTAATAGTAACATTTAATATATATGTACCATTCAACTTATATCTCATAATATGGACCGCAGTTTCAAGAGAGGAGCCGTGACGAATCAATTCGTGTTTTCGATTTAAATGTCGACGCAAAGCCGCCGCGCAAATTGCCGGCTTACCATATTGACATTGGTTAACGCGTGCTTTTTAATTGTTATCTTGCTTTTACAATATCATGATTTGGCACGCTGTCCAAACAAAGGAAATCGATTGGCATCTATTTTAAGTCCTCTGTTGGTAATAAATTGTGTTTAGAATGAAGACTGACAACATTTTATCGATGTATTTTCATATAATCGTATTTAGATACAGTTATATGTGATGCTGTTCCAGTAAAAAGGCACAAAATATGGCTATAATATTTGTCATCTTTCTTAAAGCCTTTTACACATCTTACGTAGCAAATTGATTGATGATGAATGATTGTGAATACACTTCAATTTATCCTCAAAAGGCCCCGTGTTCTTCGAAATGTACGTTATAGTCATATATTGATTCAGACCCAGACAATATTATTCCTATGATCACGTAAACGCCCAGTGTTCAAACATTATAACGGAAATATCGTATTCTTTAGTGCTATATATTCTATATGACCATAGGGGTTTTTTTTTTGTAACATCAAGTGACGAACAAGTCGTGCGCCTGATGATAAGCTACACGCCTGTCCATGACAATTACAGTGCCACTCAGAGCTTTAAATTACAAAGATCTGCGGGGCACTGCCACTGCGCCCGTCACTCTGAGACGTAAGTTGACAAGTCCCATGTGCCTGTAATTTCACCAGCACCCTTACGCTTCAAAACCGGAACACAGTAATGCTGACATTACTGCTTGGCAGCAGAAATAGGTAAGGTGGCAGTACTACACTGGACGAACTCTTTCACAAGGAGCTCTACTGCTACTAAAATAGGGTATCTATATAATATACAAAAATACGTTTTCAATACAAAACTGAGGGAGTATTTGCTTGGGTCTGAAGGATGTCATAGCGCTTTTCCCACTATGCTTTGCTGGACCTCAGGAGGTTATTTGTGTATTCGTAGCGTTGCGTTGATGAACAATTAATTGAATACTGCCTCCGTGGCCGAACGGTTACCATACCGGACTGCCACGCAGAGGTCCCAGGTTCGATTCCCGGGCCGGGAGAAATATTTGTATGGCCTACAATTATTTCTCTCGTGAGTTTGGGTGTAATTTGTGGTTGTCTATGTGTGTGTCCATGGCACCCGCGACACAGGGTTTCCCTAGTGCGGGGCTATGTTGAGTGTGTGCGTTATTATTATTAAAAAAAAAAAAAAAAAAAAAATATTATATATACATATGTGTATATACATATATCTATTATATTATACTTTGCAGATTTGACATAGTCAGAAAATTAGGCCAAGGCACATATGGCAAAGTGCAACTTGGTATCAACAAGAAGACAGGACAAGAAGTTGCCATCAAGACCATAAAGAAATGCAAAATCGAATCGGAGGCCGATCTTATTCGCATCAGGCGGGAGGTCCAGATTATGTCTTCTGTCAGACATCCTAATATTGTACATATTTATGAAGGTGAGGCACAAATCATTTTGGGTGTTATATTTTTATAAGATTTTTAATAATGAGTAGAAATTTTCACTGTACTGTACTATCTAAAATAAATCAATCTAATGTAGAATTTAATGTACTGTATATAGGCTGGTATTCTTTTTTTATAGAAGCTTTTAGTCTGTGATAGACGTATATAATATAGCCGATTCGCAACAGCTCTTATTGACAAAATGTTCAACCAATATGTTGCTGGGCTTAGCGATAACTTGTCTTAAAACAAATATGTACAAATTTAACGCTTACCGGGCAAGGTTTTACTTTTTGCAGAGATTTTCATTGTAATTCCTTTTACTTTTTGCAACGTACAGACTTTGTATTGAGGTCGCATTGCGTTTCGCTCATTTATTAGACTTTATTTATTGGTCTGAAGGTTAGTCTTGAATATAATGCAAATTGTAAAATACGTAACTTGTATGGAGACATGAAACTATTTTTCGGATCTAAATCGCATATTGTTTTTTAAACAAACCTCAGTTTCGGGTCCTGTACAGGTCCCATTCTTACTGCTGACTGATTTATGACCTATATTTATATGAAGACAGTTCTCTTGTGTGAATTGATCGATTCGGAATTAATTATGCAAGCATTCTAAGAATCTCTTGCTCAAATAATAATACAATCAACCTCAATTTAAAAATGTAACCGAGATCCTATCCTACAATGTCACATTAATATATTATTATATTAAATACTAATAACTTAATACATGTAATAGAGGCGTAGCAACAATGTCTTGTCGCACATATTTAAGACTGTTTGTAGACTCATTAGCAGCGGTAATCAACTCTAACGACTTTGTGTTTTAGTGAAATTATTTTGCATAAAATTTATTGTTCATTATCGTAAAATAAAAGAAAATCTCAGCAATAATGTAAATGAGGCACGCGAATTTAAACCTCACGTTTATATGTATATTCTATGATATGGTTGACTTTATTTTGTAAATCTTTTTCTTTATTTACAGTATTTGAAAATAGTGAAAAAATGATCCTCGTTATGGAGTACTGTTCCGGTGGTGAATTGTACGACTACTTGAGTCAGAAAAAAGTATTACAAGAGGATGAAGCCAGAAGGTCAGTAACACATTAATGTTGTTGTTTACCTCAAATGTTTTCCTTTCAAATTCCTTAAAATCTAAATGATTCATCCGCTTCCAGGTTATTTCGACAAATCGCTACAGCTGTTTACTATTGCCATATACACAAAATCTGCCATAGAGATTTAAAATTAGAGAATGTTTTACTTGATGATACTGGTAGTGCTAAGGTAAGAATGAATTCTCTATTAAATTACATTTACTTTTATACTATATGTACATTTTATTAAAATATTGTTCTTATTCTTTTTATTTATTTCATATTCTCACATTATAACACATATGGATACACATTTAGTAAGACAATTAAAGATGGTTTGAAATGTGCGACACATTTTGACAAATTCAGTAGCAGTAGAGCTCCTTGTATAAGAGTTCGTCCAAGGAAATACTGTCACTTTACCTACTTCTGCCGCAAAGCAATTACTGCGTATCGGTTTGAAGAGTAGGGGTGCTTGGGAAATTACAGGCTCGTGGAACATTTCAACTTATGTCTCACGGTGACGGGCGCAGTGGCTGTGGCACTTAGGTCTTTGCGATTAAAAGCTCTGAGCGGCATTTTAACTGTTATGAACAGGCGTGTCGCTTACCGCTAGATCACGACTATTGGTCCTGTCACTTGGTATCATAAAAAATATATATAAGCAGTCTTCAGTAATTAATTACATCAATGCATTAATTAACATAGACGATATCTTGTATAAAGGGATAGGTAGGCCAAGCAATTAATTAATGATTACATTTATGTTTTTTTAAACAATCAATTTGTTCTTTTTTATGCAGAGGTTTAATCCACCTATTAACTATGTACGGGCAAGATCGAGCGAGAAGGTATTCGCATTCGCCTGTCCTTTACAATACATTTTATAAATGTACAGGCTGTTGCTTTTTAATGAATCTAAATTTCATAAATTGTCTCAACAAGTATTTGCAAAGCCTTTACACCGTAAAATCTTGTATATCTAAAAGGTCTTTACTTTACGCATTGTTCATATTAAAATACTTACGTAGATTAAAAAACAATTAACTAATCTTCTACTTACAGATTGCCGACTTTGGATTGTCAAATGTATTCAAAGAGACGTCGCTTCTATCAACATTCTGCGGATCGCCTTTGTACGCGTCGCCTGAAATCGTAAAAGGAACACCGTACATAGGACCTGAGGTGAGTGAGGGGGTCTATGATCGTTAACCGAGAATAGTGCTTAGTATCTTGAATCAGTCGACTATGAATTGATTTCCTCCAAATACTTTTATTAAAGTTTTATTATACTTTCGAATTTAACGACAAAATGTATAACGTAATTACGTATGTAAGTAAGAGAACGGTTGCTTTTCTATTGTAGAGTTATCATCCGTCCGTATTGATCTATGTCCGGCTTTTTGACCTTTTGTCCGAATTTTTCTGCTTAATGTAACAATTTTCAGCGTTAAAAGTAAAAAATCCACTTCCACAAATCCAAATCCACAAAAACACACACAAGTGGATTTTTAGTTTCGCAATAGTAAAACTCGATTTACAACAAAAATTTTGTTGTAAATCGAATCGAGAGAGATTTTAGATTTTAGTTTGTAACTAAAAACATGCAAATGTCAGGCTTTTCATCAGGACTATTCAAATTTCGTAATGGTAACCTTACTCTGCTGAGAGATCGACTGTTCGAATCCCAATAGCGGCATGACCCTATGATTTTAATTTCTAAACTAAGTATACGCGACGAAACTTGTATATCGAAGAAGGCTCGCAACTTTTGGAATACGCGGGTAGTCTCCAACCCGCATTGGACCAGATTGTCGGAGTGTAGTTTAAACCCTTAGAGGATACCCGTGACCAGCAATTGGAAACGATGGAAAAGGTTGATGATGATAAACAACTTTCTAATATATTTTAATATTATACAACTGAAAAAGTTCTTGATTGAATGGTATGCCATTAAGACCATTAAGACAACTCCCGCCTGTTTAGCGCATCAATGTCTACGTCTTGCGCAAATCGTGTGATTACACATTATTATGTTACTTGTACCTACAGATTGTATACTTAATTTAAATAATCTCAGTACAGAGCACTAAAAAACCGACCTCAAGAGGTCGTGGAATGACATCTTTTTGCCAAGTTTTATTGAAATCCTTTACCGGAAAGTGCGCGAAACCGGATTCAACCCCTAGTTTGCCATCCTTAGAGGTAGAATATTTTCTTAAAATTTAAATGGGACCACTACAGAGGTACGCTCTTTCCAACAAAAACGAATCATGAAAATCAATTCACAAATGCCGAAATTATCGCGTAACATACATTCGTATTACATTCGTATAAAAAAAACATACACTTGAATTGAGAACCTCCTTTTTTTTGAAGTCGGTTAATAATGCTGTTCATCACAGTTTTTCTCTGTGTCACACAAAATGGAATGTGGAGATGAGGAGATATTGTTATGACAAGATTTCTAGAAACAGAGTTGTGTATAGGATTCACTAACTTTTTGTAATAACACTAGGTGGATTGCTGGTCCTTGGGCGTGCTGCTATACACTCTAGTCTATGGAGCAATGCCGTTTGACGGCTCCAACTTTAAACGGCTTGTCCGCCAGATCAGTAACGGAGATTACTACGAACCTAAAAATCCATCCAGTAAGTATACAATGCTGTATGTTTTTTAAGATTTAACAGATATGCAAAAGCTATAGAGCTTTATTGACAAAACAATTCCTCAAGTTTTTGAGGAAAATCGAAAAATAAAATAAATTTATTGATTTAGAACAAAATGTTAAAGATCACTCCCCAACTTCCTCAAACAGTCCCCGGCATGGCAACAGACACTGGTACGAGTCTAGTCAGATAGAAGAACTTTTCTTTGTGTTGTTCGATGTTTGTATCTATAATAATAATAACTGGTGGAGAGTTTTCACAAAAAAAAAATGGTGAAACGTTATTATGACATTCAATAAATAAATATTGCAAAAGTTAAAAATATATTTGTAATTAAGTTTGATTTAAACGTTATACGTCATCCAAAGTTATTTGAAGATTTCTCTTAACTATACCTCCGGACAATTTCTTCCGAAAGGTTTATACTGTTCCAAGTTAAGGTAATGACATCGGTACGGTAACACCGTTGGTACATTTTCAGGCGCATCACCGCTTATTCGTGACATGCTCACTGTGGACCCGTTAAAGCGCGCAGATATAACTTACATTTGCGACAATCCGTAAGTTTTTATTCCCTAATCACTATAAATATAGTACATTCTTTACATTTCTTTTTCCTTAGGGCGCGTTCGGCCACTATCTATCGTCCCGACATAATGGGAACGCGCCCTTATATGTCTTGATGCTTGCAGTCAAGCAGTGTTTAATCTGATTGTTTAACATACAATAAATAAAATTAATGAGACAATGACCTTGGGCCTTACCATGACCTCTTATTACAGTTCAGCATAGGTTCGTAACGACAAAAAAGCGGGATGGTGATATACACTTCATGTACCGCTGTCTCACCACGATTCATTTTAGGTCCTAAACTGAATCGTAATAAGAGTTCATGGTAAGGCGCCTTATAATTCTTTGAAGATATTGCCTAAAGCCTATATACATATAATACCATTAACATTATGTAATATTATAAATGTCTCATTCAGATGGGTGAACGTCGGTTGCGAGACATCATGTCTAGAAATGGCGGAGGCCTTAGCGGCGGAGACACCAGTTCGTCTTGACTTGTTACTCTCACTGGCACCAGCTGCGCCTTCCAACTCCAACTCGGTTGTAGTGCCGTCTGAGGTTAGTAGTATGTTCTTGAAACTGCACCACACTTTCAAATGCCGAACGCCTGTGGATGCGTTCAAGATCCATTACCCAAAAACAAAGAATAAAAAAAAGTTATATCAATAAAATGATTCGGTTAAGTGGTTTGTCTAAAATATTGATATATGGGATATAACTATTTTATGGTTAACGTACGATGACCGCAGCTAAAAGCACAAACTTTCAAAAATCTCCATTGAAAAGTGTACCTTATTTCATTCGCATAGAGTTTAAATTAGTGGTTTAAAAAACAGCAAGTTGTATAGGTTAAGGCGTGGTGGTGTATCGTAATGCAACAATACGTGGACATAACTCGCAAATAAGAATTCATTTATCGCATTGCTACCTGAAAAATAATTACAGAAAGTGCGTCGTTCATAGTAGAATGCGCTTGCTTTTGAGACAAACGTTTTAATAAAACTAACTGGCTCCGTGGCCGAACGGTTACCACATTGGTCTGCCACGCAGATGGCCCGGGTTCGATTCCCGAGCCGGGAGAAATATTTGTATGGCCTACATTTATTTCTCTTGTGAATTTGGGTGTAATTTGTGGTTGTCTATGTGTGTGTCCATGGCACCCACGACACAGGGTTTCCTTAGTGCGGGGCTATAGTGTGAGTGTGTGCGTTATATATTTATTTATTTATTTATTCGAGTTCTTAAGTTTTCGCGTTTGTTACAAGTAGAAAATGAGACTATTTTTTCCAGATCTAAATCGCGCATATTTTCTTTTTTCGGGGCCCTTTACAAGTCCTATGGTCACTTTTATGTCTGTGGTCATGGCTGACATGCACGGCTAATTGTGAAACGTTGGTTTGTTTGAAAAAAGACGTTATTTAGATCTGCAACAGTTAATAAAATGAATTCCTAGACTATTGAGGACATAGTAATTTTTGGAATTATTTCGATTTAAAAAAGTAATGTGCGTGGTATCGACATTAATAATATGCCTCAAGCCTAGTGCCAAATACGACAAACGATAGATTATTGTGTTTATTTCCCACATTTTTTATTTATGATAGTTTCCCCAAAAACAAAATACTTTTCGAAATCACTCACTTTTTATTTGCTATGTACATGAAACTTTAGCAGTCTACACTGCACTATTGAGTATCTCCAAAGGGTGCAATAGGATTGATTGATGATTTTGATCATTGACAGGCACAGATGGGTCCAGAGGAGAGTTGCACGGATCTCACGAGCTCTGCTTCGATGGCCGTCGAGCCAAGCAACTCTGCCGAAAAAAGGATCCTCGAACTCGTTGCTGGTAGGTGTAACACATTACGACTTTAGAACCTAAGTTTTTGAGACTTTAAACATAATTGAAAAGGTTTTTAATAATTATCAACTGTTTTTATAAAAAAACACCGACTTCAACGGTTCGTGGAATTACATTTATTTGCCGAGTTTTATTGAAACCGATTACCGGAAAGTACGCGAAACCGGATTCATCCCCTAATTTTCCATCCATACAGGGGGAATATTTTATTCAAATACTGAGGTACCCGTTTCGTTTCCGTTTCGTTCAAAAAAAATCCTCAAAATCAGTTCACAAATGCTGAGTAATCGCGTAACATACACACAAAAAAATATAGTCGAAGAGAACATCCTCCTTTCTTAAAGTCAGTTAGAAATTACACAGAGATTCCAATTGCCGCTTAAGTTGTGCAGTAATGAAATTTTTTTTTAATTTTTTTTATATTTGATTATGTCTGTTTAGTATTCTGAATTTTTGCCACGAATCTGTCGCACCCCTGGTTTAAACATTCTATAAACTCATAATTATTATTTAGAGGGTGGCGAAGATGCGATCAAACCATCTCCGACGCGTACAATAGTGTCAGCAGGAGACAACAAACGCAAGCTCGAGCTCGCAATGTCCTCCAGTGGCATGCAGAGAAAGAAAGAAAGAGTCGCCAGGTATTTGTCACCTCAAATATCATCAGCATAGTATTATAAGACAAGTTGTGCGCGTCGTGTCTACACTTCACTCGGAGCGTAGGGTTGTCAAATTATAATGTTACTTGTATACCTGTAGGTTGTAAATATAATTTAAAACAATTAAGGTGTTCATCACAGTATTCTCGTATTATATTGAAATAACCTTTATTAAATGCAGTACTTATGTATTGACATTGTTATACCAAGATCGAGGATTTATACTTTAGGAGTGTGACTATGAAATGAAATTAAATGCGTCATATCATTTTTTAAACACCGAGCGAACGCTTTAATTTTGCAATGAATTGAGTGCATGCGAAATTATGCGAATGTGTGCGTCCGTACACGGTGCGCAGCAGGCATGTACACATACAAGCTACTATGTTTGTACGGAGTTACCCTATTTGTCTTATTACACTACATTTTCAGTCTGTAAATTTATCAACTGGATAAGTACCTGCCTACCACTATACTTTTTCCATTTGGCAGTGCTCAATGCACTACATTTAATTTAACATCGAACAACATCATGCCAAGTGCACCCACATATCCTTATTCATTTGTCTAAAAATATAGTAAATTTAAATATAGTAGTATAGTAAATTTTCTAGACCAGTGATCAAATATTGGGCCAGTGTGGAAGGTTGACCTATTACTCTCTTCCTTAAGGAGATCCGTGCCCAGCAGTGGGACGTATATATATGATGATATTGTCTTGAGCTGCGATGAAACTAATTAATATGGTTGTGTACAGTGCGGTGGGAATTGCTGCGCCAGGGCCGGCGCTCGAGGAAGAGGCGGCTGATTTGCCTGCTGACACGCCTTCACCAGAACAGGTAATATTATTGTAATTTTTAAGTTTATTGAATGTCACGATGTTTTACTACCATGATATTAAATTTTTTTTTTGTGAAATTACTCCACTAGTTTGTTATAATTACTAATACAAAGATGGAACACCAACAAAAATACCTTCAGTCTCATTCGATTCGAACCACCGTATTCAAGCGTCTATCCAGCGGTATGTGCCAGACGCTCTCCCAACTGAGCTACGAAATGAACCATCACCAGACCTTTCTTTTTAACGATTTTTTTGCCGTAGCGCCATTGGTGAAAAATATTTCTGAGCTGAGCTGAGTGAATAAAGTTGGCGGAGCGTTTTCTACGGTATGCTTGAAAATGCTGGTTCGAATCCAGCCGGATCGAAGGAATTTTTGTTATTGTTCGATCTTTGTATTAATATTTTTTTCTTTGGCAGACCTCAACTCACATTTAACAAGCCCAAATTGAGAACCTATGTTTTTGTAATTTGACGCCTAGTTAAATATTTAAAAATAACATAAACTTTTCTGACTTTACAGACAAGCCCGCCGACACTAAAATCTTCAGCGACTATCACGATCCAACCGTCGCCACCGTCTGCCGCCCCTGCCACCCCAGCTCCCGCTACTGCCACTGCCTCCGTAGAACTAGTCAAGGTCCCTGTAAGAGAAGTAAAGGAGGCCCCTAAGGAATCTCCCAAAGAGGAAGATGCGAAGGAGAAGACTGGTGCCAAACCACGAGTTATAATTAAGAAAAAAGTTACCCCGAAGTCTTCCGAGGAAAAAGCTTCGCCTGAAAAACTAGATGAACCGAAGGTAACAGATTAATTGTAATTTTATTATTACAATCCTGTACGATTAATCTGTAAAACAGATGTAACGGAATGTCAGGCTAAGAAAAGGAGATGATGAAGTACACTTAAAGTACTTAAGGCAAAATCTTCTAGGCAATAATCCTCGAAGAAACAAGCTTTTTTTTATTTACAAAGACAAATTTATCAAAACATCTTGTCGTTTACAGCAGGAAGAAACAAAAGTAAGTTCAGTGGCGTCAGCGGCAGACAAATTGACCTCGCTCTCTCTGGCGCAGCAGACGCCGACCAACCAAACGCCTGCAAAGCCTAAGAAACTATCCTTTCCTGGTAAAATAACAGTTACTTTAATAAAAACAGATAAGTTACTGTTGCACTCTGAATCGCAGTTAAATTAAATTTTTGACATCAATATTAGTTTGAAGAAAATAACCAAAATCGAACTTGCTTTTCTGAAAATTAATAAACGCCACAAGCATTCTTAAAAGTGAGATTGTACGACATAATAAACGGTGGAAGTACAACAAATTTAAATTCTAAACATTCGTATTCTGTTTTAGGCGGCAATGTGGGCAGTTTTAAGGAACAGTTCGAACGTCGTGCTTCATTGACTACCACTCCAGAAGTGAAGAAGAACTTCTCCAAACCAGGTTAGCGATTTCGTACCGTTTTTCTGGCAGATATCTGATATCAGATCTGGCTTGGTAGAGAACATTAATACGATTACACTTGTCGGTTAGGTAATTATTAATCTCATAACACAAGTACATGTGTCTGAATTGTTTGATTCGTAGCTTCAGTGTCAAAGATCGCGAAGCCGAAAGCGCAGAGCGAGGACCGCGAGCTACCCGCGAAGATGCCAGACAACGGTACAGTGAGATTGCAACAGATCGGCATTGAACCTTCACAGGTAACTACTTGTTTAAATAATTAATTCAGCATTTAATATTTCGCTTAAAGCCAAACAAAAATGTGTCGTAATCACCACGCCTTAAAGGCGATCGATGTATAATAATACTGTATTGTTTGTTGTAGACTATACCCGACGAACACCCCAACCGTGGTAGTGTTAAGAAAACCGAAAGTGAGCCTTCACATGGTTCCTCATCAACAGATCCCTCTACGCTGTTGCAAGACGCTAGAAGGTGATGATAATAATAAATTATTGAAAAAGAAAGTATAATGTATCATAATTATGGCGTGGTGCAACTCGACGTTTAGCGCCTATTTTGCGTGTGTTATTTATAGAAAGTATGTACAAGTTTTTTTAATGCTAACGGTTAATATTCGTGAATTTTACTTGAAATTTAAATTTCCAGTTGAAACCATCGCCACCTATTTTCAGTTCGAGACCTGTATTTCATGTGGATTCTTTATCCAAGCTGCCTCTGTGGCCGAACGGTTACCATGCCTGCCACGCATATATCTCAGGACCCCGATTCAGAACTCTACGATGTTTTAACCAAATTGTTCATGTTCTCGAATCGAAGGACGCTTTCAGAGCTTTCAGAAAATTCGAGTTTAACGTTTGATTTGGGTTCGGATACGTATCGTTATCCAACAGCGTTTACGGAGTTAGTCGGTGAAATAGATTATAAGAAAACTTAAAATCCTTTTATGTACGTTTTTAAGATGCATTAGTTTTGCATTAAAATAAATGAATAAAATTGAACAAAACCCTGACTTCATTTAAAATATTAAGAGATTCCTATATTACATTCTTGCTTAGTAAACAATACGACGTTCGGTAACTTTCATTCGATACCTGTGTTCTGAATAACTTTTGTGGCCTTTGCCGGTCGAGAAGTTCGATTTTCGGTGCAATTTGTGGTTGTCTGTGTGTCTGTATGGCACCCGCGACACAGGGTTTCCCTAATGCGGGGCTATGTTGTGTGTGTGCGTTATTATTACTATTATAATCGGAGAACTAAACTAGATATGACATATTCTTTTTAAATTATGAATCCGTGATTTGAAGTCAAATTTACGGTACCATATATTTTTTCGTTTATAGGAGTCTCCAGAACTCAATGGCCAAACTGGTGGAAGAGAAGAATACAGAAGAGAACCGACGTCGCGCCGCTCGAGATATCATCTCTACCGCGATTCGTACAGGTGAATTATTAAATATATTATGATCATATTCTTCGATATCGAATTGCTTCTTTGTATTCCGATTATTAGGAACAGCTGTGACAGAGTATGGTTAATTAAACGACGATGTTATAAGAGAAGTATTCTTTTTGCGTGTCGTAAGTTGTCACTTCTTTGTTACCTAGCTTTTAGGCTTTTACTAATTCACGCTTTATTCCGTTTTCGTGCACAAATAAGTACGCAAAAACATAATCGTAGGTAAACCCCCAGTGCCGTACGGGCGGTCGTCGTCGGCGGGCGTGACGTCGCTGGCGTCACTGGGGTCGCCGCCAGCCACGCCGCCCACTGTGCCCGCGCCGCGCGTCTTCCGCACCGAGGCACAGCATCGTGTCGAGGACCATCGCAATCGGTGAGTGGACTCTAGTGTTGAAAGAGACTCAGTCTTTTAAGGCGTTTTATAACGACTCGACTCCATTTTACAGGACTCGTCTACAATTAAGACTGGGGGTTCGAGTTTTCATTAATAAGACTCAGTCGTTATACTAAAAGACTCAAAAGACAAACGACTTGAACCACTTAAAAGACTTAAACGACTCGAGTTGTTTGCAAAGGACTTATACCTATTTTATATCTTATTAAACCCGAAGTTTATAAATAAAAATGACGTAAGTGGTATGTAGTAAATAATCACGTTTATTTACTTATAATAAAAATCATAAAATAAATACCTTGTGGGTAGAAATAAAATCACGCCAAACGGCTCATGACTCGCGACTCCCGAGGCTATGAGGCGCCAGTCGTTTTAGTCTTTTTAGTCGTTTTAGTCCTATAAGTCATTTAAGCTTCCTAGGTTAAAAGATTTCGACTCGATTAGTCTTCAGTTTTAGTCTTACGACCCAAGACTTGAGGGTTGCTTATGACTCAAGACTTGAGGATTAAAAGACTAGACTAAGTCGTGAGGCGTTGAAAATAAGTCGAGGTTTTTTACAAGGCCTTAAAAGACTGAGTCTCTTTCATCACTAGTGGACTCACTAGTTTCATTTTCAATGGTGGACCTCGCCATACGAAACGCAACTTTCAACTTTGAAGCTTTTTTTATTTATTGTAACATAAGTATGTTACAATCTTCTTCTCTTCCTTATCAAATTTAAATTTAATTACATCGGTTTTCTTAGAATGATACGACGAAACATCAAACGGTTAAATTGGGCATTTCAACCTTTGTAAGTCTAGTGTAAAAACCGTTGTGGTATTCTAGGATCCGACAACATTTGTTCGTTTTCTTAAATATAGGCTAACTGCTACGAAATATTGTTTTAGGGGTGTATCGGTGGAACGGATAATTCCGATTAACCTGGCTGGTGATGATTCGCCCACGTCGCCTCCGCCGCAATCTAAAGCCGCGCCGTCTGCATCTGCTGCATCTAAACCAACTCAACAACCATTAAGGTTCGTCTCAGGCTTCTAAAAACCATATCATACAAATATTTGTTTGGCCGCCAGCTATAGGCCTGAATGACAATAGTAGTATAGTCGTCACCAAATAAGAGGCATTATTGACATTTGTCATCGTGACGTGAATAGGGATGTGGACTAATCATATCGGTAATCACAATATACAATTATCACGAGAAATCGATTCAAAATGTTAAGAGTTTGTAATTGTTTAGATTATTTTTCGGTTCATGAATTTTCAATTATTCGGCTGGCAATTAGTTAAAAATTGTCGATGTCAACAACAAACAATCTCAAATAATGTTCATAATTTTTTGTAATACTTTAAAAATAAAATTTTTTTCCGAGAAATCGAAGTGACCCGGTGAAATTCGGCTATTAATTTCTTACAACACTATTATTTAAAACAAATAGCTTTAGGACATAACTGTTTTCAGGACGTTTCGGAGTAACTCAAAATTGAATTTTATATAGTAATTCGTGCGAAAACAGTACTTCAAATATGTTTTGTCATATTATACAGGGTGTCTGTTAAGTCGACATCAAGCCGGGATGGGGATGCCAAGGAGGTCATGGCGTACAAAAAAGCCCATGGTACTATGCTAATATTCCTAACGGTTTTTTTTTCATTAAAGATTTTATGCACATTACGATTTTTACGTTTGTACACTTTTGCACGCGACTGTACTCAAACATAATTGTCATTTTGTATCCTTCTTTTTCTTTTTATTATCTTAAATCAATCTGCTTTTTAATGAGCTAAGTAGTAAATTAAATTCCTCACTAAAAGTTATTTTAAAAATATCAAAAGTATGAAAAAAGATCAATTTTTTAACCACTTGAATGGGTGTGTTAAAAAAATTAAAATGTACGACACCGCATCTGCACGTAATTGTAAAAACGTGTCTATACTTATTCATCTAATTACTAAAAAAAAATTACGTACCTGTCTACTTTAGTTAGGTTTTATTCAAAATTCCATCAAACAGGCCGTCATTACAGCAATAAACAGGATATTTGCTAAAGTGTGAAAAACCTAATTTTTTGTGATTTTGGTGTCTAAGGGCGCGTTCCCACTATGTCGTGACGACAGATTGTCGTGCAGTTTACAGTGGCGTGGCTTGTATATTTAAATGAAGTTGTTCACATATAGCACGACACGATTCACTGTCGTTCACGATTTTTATCGTTACAACGACAAACTGTCATCACAGTGGGAACAGCTAAAACGACAGTCGTCAGACGTAAAAAAAACGTCACGACAGATTGTCGCAGCTCCTATTGTCGTCACGATCTAGTGAGAACAGCTAGTCACGACAGTCGTTCAACGATAAAAAATCGTCCACGACAGATAGTCGTGATATGGGAACAGGCTCTAGACACGCCAGTCGTCCAACGATAATAAATCGTGGCGATATAGTGGGAACGCGCCCTAAGATGGTTAGTGCCGCTCGTGGCGGTGGTTTCTGACTTCAAATTAAGGTATAAAATATTTGAAAATCAAAACTTATATTTTTGTAACAATTTGCATTTGTATACATTTTTCACAATAAATTTATATTTTTCACAATAAATGTTCAAAATGGCGGCCGCCGGCCCTAATACACAACCTGCACCGCCTAATCATGGCCCTAGCGGCCTTCCACAGCTTTTGAGGATTCCCACGGAGAGCTAACACGAAGGCGCTATTTAAGCGATCTGATAATTCTTGCCTGAACTGAGGAACAGTCTGATGCACAGTTTCTTTTACATAGCCCCATAAAAAATAATCTACAGGATTAATGTTAGGTGACCCGGCGGGCCACGAAATGGGTCCACCGCGACCCATCCACCTATCGGGGAAAACTTTGTCCAGGTGCCTTCGTACAGCTATACCGAAGTGCGAAGAGGACCATATCGTGCTGGTAGACTATTTGTTCTTCTGGTTCTTCACCTCCTAGTATCTCATGGTGGCGGTTTTCCGGATGACGCAAGTACACTGCAGCAGTTACTTTGGAAGGCAGCAGTGTAGGCCAATCAGTCGAGAAGCTGTGAAGCCGGCCCACAGTAGGTTTTTTAAAATTTTGTCAAAGATCCTGTTTATTGCTGTAATGTCGATCAGTTCGATGAAATTTTAAATAAAACGATAACCAAAGTAGATAAGTACGTATTTTTTTTAGTAATTAGATGAATAAGTAGACAAGTTTTTACAATTAAGTGCAGATGCGGTGTCATATATTTAAAAAATTTTTAACACACCCATTCAAGTGGTTAAAAAAATTGATATCTTTTTTCATACTTCTTGATATTTTTAAAATACTTTTAGAATTTCATTTAATACTTAGCTCATTAAAAAGCAGATTGATTTAAGATAATAAAAAGGAAAAGAAAGATAGAAAAAGACAATTATGCTTAAGTACAGTTACGTCCAAAGGTGTAAAAACGTAAAAATCGTAATGTGTGTAAAATCTTTAATTTAAAAAAAACCGTTAGGAATAGTACCGTGCGCTTTTTTGTAGGCCATGACGTCTTTGACATCCCCGTCCCGGCTTGACGTCGACTTAATAGACACCCTGTATAATGTTGCACTAAAATTTATGTATTTTTTAAAACTCAATTATGCTAATAATTGTTTGTTTATTGTTTCGTTGATCGCATTCAAAGTTACATACTATCGCCTTCTTTAGCTGTCAAATGTGGCCTCTTATTTGGTGACGACTATTGTATTATTACTTTTCTCGCCTGTCCATGGAAACGGTAGAAGAGTATTCCCGATATCCGTGTTGCTATTTTTTTTCTGCTAGTATACAAAAACCAGTTCAGAATTCAACAGCTGTTTTTAAGCCATTATTTTGAGTTTACTTAGTAACCTGTTAACCTTTACAAAATATTAGTTTATAGTTGGGATTATAAGATATCGTAAATCTGTAACAGGCGCCTAGTATCGAACGAGTCGACGGCCAGTGAGGCATGTTCGGCTCCTAGCGGCGAGCCAATCAAGAAGTCTGCGCGCGAGTTTATTATACCTATCGCGGTGGAGGGCAAGGGCTACGTGACTCCGCGCCAACGCAGCCTCGAACCAGAGACTTCCAGCGCCACGCGCTTGACACGCACACCTAAACCTAGGCGCATCAGGTATTTCTTTATTTATTTACCAATTTCTTTTAGTCATCATGAAAACAAAAACAATCACCAAAATTTAACATTAGAAATCTTATTTGAAAAAGATTTAAACAAGACTATTTCGATTCAAAGCAACCACAACTTTAGCAAGTCAATTGCATTTTGCAATCCCTATTATGTGTAACCACATTGTTATAGAATAGGTGACATGTCAACAATGTCACACTCTTTTGTATATATTATATTAATGTAGTATTGTGTAAATTCTCAGCAGCCTCGTAAGCGGCGGGGAATCGGAGGAAGAAGACGAAATGCATATGCACAGGCTAAGGTAATTTACATTAGTCAAATGCTGTTTAGAATTTAAATAAAAATATCTTAATTATTGTTGAAAGAAGAGATTCATCGATATACACTATACACTGTAATTTTTCATACTTAAACATAGGCTAGTAAACCCTTGAATGGTGAAGGTGGCTAGGAACACTTTCGTAGAAAGTTACGAACCATTCAAGGACATTGTAGAATGCAGATGGATGGACTGTAAAGCGAAGCTGCAAAAGCACTTAAAGGTGATCGTAAATTTGCAGGTCGACTCGAGCGGCACGTGCCGAGTCGGTGAGCTCTGGCGAAGAGGACGAGGAAGACGAAGGCTTCCATCTGCTTACGGCTGAGAATCTCTTTTCAACATTGTTGCATAGGGTATTTATTTCTAAAGTAACTTAGATAAAAAAAAATTAAGAAAGATTTCTGGGTAAAATGCGAATTAAATTGTGCGATAGTGTAACAAGGCATGAGCTGTTCAACTTATGTCTCAGAGTGACGGGCGCAGTGGCAGTGCCCCTCAGAGTGTCGCTTACCACCAGGCGCATGTCTTTTTCGTCCAGTCACTTGGTATCATAAAAAATATATATACTTGCATACCTTTAGCACCTGTGTTAGTGTTGCTTAGCAGAAAATGCAAAACATTCTAGAATAATAAAAGGGTCGTAATTGTCAGAGGACCGTAAATTTCTATTAAAGATTGAGAATAATTATAACATATTTATTAAAAAAAACTGACCTCAAAAGTTCGTGGAATTACATCTTTTTTCCAAGTTTTATTGAAACCGGTTACCGATGGTTACCGGAAAGAATCATCAAAATCGGTTCACAAATCGCGTAGCATAAATACAAAAAATACAGTCGTATTGAGAACACCCTCCTTTTTTGAAGTGGGTTAAAAAACACATAAATGCAATTTGTAACATTGCAGGTCCGAGCATTAACAAACCGCCTGAACGGCGAGGAAGGCCCTGGTTTCCAACACCCTCATTCTTTGTTCAACAACTTACACCAGTCCCCGTTCTTCAACAGGTACGTACATTGTCATAAAATGTGTGTGGCTTCTGCTTAACGGTTCACAAGAGAAGGAAATGTTATAGAGCGTTTTACATTGAATGTTTACATATACATAGCTAATTGAACATGTAATGTACGCGGAAATGAATTTATTCTTTGTTGTAATCGAGATGCTCTTGTTTCGTAAGTTGTGATATTGGTACGACGCCCTATGACAAGGTTAAAAGTTCTATATAATATTTTCTTAATAACAAACGTTTAACTATCACATTATGTTTGCTGGTTTAAGAATCAATCATTATTTACATACATTTGGACCAAAGCAATCGCAAACTAAAATTTAAAAAATCCGATTCTGGAATGTAATTGTTATTTCACGCTTTGTTTTATTCTGTTTTATTTCGTGTTAAGTTTCTGAGTTATAATAGTTTAAGTTGATTTAATTATTGTGAAGGATATTCTCAAACTAATCGTTTTAATTTTACGCATGCAGCCCTCACTTACCCCGGAGACATCTTTTGTAAGTATACAAAAACATTTTTAATGAAATCTACTATAGTACGGTAATTATGGGAAGCGCGGTGACAAGTGTGTATAAATAAATTTCACAACGTCAGATTTGATGTGATTGTTTTATATTTTACGAAACTTGGCATAATAAACGCGTGTCTTCCTTTATTTGACGTTGACGGAATGTTCGATTGTATCCATGGGGCTATAACATTTTAAAAAAGAAGAGAAATCTTATGAAGTATTAACTGTCTATGCTATTCCCATGATATCGGACAGTGCTATTTTCTAATATCGGAGTCATTCGAATATAGAATGCTACCTTGCGTTAGCCAAATTAACCTTCCTCTCTGTTTAAATGTTAAGGTGAATTTTTTATTGCAGTAGAATACTCGACGATCCCCCCGAGTAAACGTATATTATCAAAACACCAACCTTACAGAAAACAAAAAAGCTTAAAAACTTCAATAACTCTGCACTTGATGGATTAGTTTCGAAGGAAAACAATGGAAATAAATCAACCAGTGTTTTTACGTCGTAAATCCAGTTTTAATTTTTTTAGAATGATGTATTTCTTATATTATTCTTATATATGTTTTCCCTAGGAAAACCATGTGAGTAATTTTAAATCGCTTATTTATCTTTTCTGCGTGAAAAAAAGGAGATTTATAATAGATAATAATAGAACATTATACCCTGATAAAAAAATATTTAAAAACTACGTCTACGTTTTTCGGGGGGAACGTCGATTGCAGAGCGAAGAATGCAATCTTGAACCCAAAAAATCGAATAACTCCGAAATTTGGTATTAGTACTGTACTAACTTATGTGATCATGTCATAATAATGAAACTATAAATATTTCACATTTTAATACTGTAAAATTATGGCTTGCATGCAGCACTCATAGATATGTGGAAAATAAAAGAAGCGTATCAGAAACGTAAGTTTAGATTCCGGATCACAGTATGCAAATCATTTGTAGCTAATGTGTTCTTTTAAATATTTAAAAATCGTAATCTTACGAGCTTTATTTTGTTTAATTTTTAATTGTTGAAAATGTTGTAGCAGTGTTATTGTTTGTATTCTATAGTACATTAATAAATATAAAAAAATTGTAAACTTTAATACTTATTAATGATAATTAAACAGCAAAGTGCAAAATAGATTTTCTAATCTTGGAAGCCTACTTTCCATAATGAACAGGACTTAATACAAATTTTACATTATTACATTAAAATTTGACCGTAACACACAGGCGTGAAGGATGGGGATCGCGCGACCTGCATGCGGACTTCGATACGATGTTCAGCAAGCCACGAACGTCGCTGCCGCGAGGTGAGTGTTACCGTCTCGCACGCACTGTGTTCCCCTTGGGGAAAATGTCGCTGGTATCGCGCCCGCGGTCGACTGTATCTCGTACAGAACCGCTCATGGCAATAGCTCACGCTTCAGGCCTGCCCGCTCGCACACTCATTCACTTGTAAATAAAAAAATCAAAACACAACACCTACATACTTTTTAATTTATTATCGAGCTGTTTTGTAAGTTAGATAAAAAGCGGATTACTTCTCATGTATATGGCTGATTCTGTTTTGTTTTCAATATCATTATTTTTTTTTTTATATTTGTATGAAAAATAAATACAATTTTCTCTTCTACATTATAACTGCACGAATCTGTAGATTTTTGAACGAGAACACGTCTTTTTAATAAATTATATCCCTGGATACCAGATTAAAAAGCACCGAAGTGCCATACTGAACATTGTAATTGTACACTCTTTCTTGACGTAAATAATAAATTAAAATTGTAAAGATAAGAAATATATATTTATATATTGAATGTGAAGAAATCTTGAGCTTTTCCAAATTGTGTAGTACGCATGTTTCGGTGAGTTTATAATATCGCGTCGCACGAGTAGTTAGTGCACTCTGCACAGGCTCTACACTCACAATAAAGCTAGCTTCACTAAAACAAATCGATTAACTATCTGCCATTCCGCATATAGTGCTATTTTAGGACTTATAAAATTTACTGTTTCACCCGCGCCGTGCCGCCGTCCCGAATATTAGTGACGTTTTCCACCGAGTGTAGTTTTTCATTTAATACTATTGTACGCAGCAGGCTGCTTATTCCGATGAGCTCTGACCTCACGAGCAACTGCAGCGTACTAAGTTTTGAAATTATTCATTAACATCCTAATTTAATTTAACATTTTTTTGCATTGTAGTGTTATTACTGTATTCAAATTGCATTATTTGTGCAGGTGTTGACTTTCTTCTACCCGCTAACACTAGCAGGAAAATGTTGCGTTGCTCTCAGTTCTTATAAATTCAGCTCAAAGCGTAGTAGTATCGATTTGCATGAAGTGTACAGACAAAGGCATTTCACTCATCGCATCGCCTTCGGCAATGCTGTTTTTTTTTTTGGTCTTTTTATTGAGTAGATTAAAAATTTGTTTTCTGTTTATAATTTTCATAAATGTAACGTGAGATTATTTTGAGAGCATCAGTTAATTAATTTGTTTGGAAAGTATAGTGGAAATCTGTAGATGATAGTGGATGTGGTAGCACTCGGTGTATCATACTTGGACATGCGTCCGACATGACTCGTTATCAAACGCCGTTCTCGCGAAGTGGGCCGAGGGGCACAACTTACCTGCAGCCAGAGTAGGCCGGGGCCAGGGTGGGACGGGTTAGCACCAGAGGAGAGGGCGCAGCAAGCACTGCAGCGGTAGTGAGGTTGATGTGGTGTGGTTGCAGTTGGGTTGCGCGTTACACTGCATGCGCCGACCAAATCTTCACTTCACACGGGCACCAGCGCCAACCAACAATCTGCCACAAACGCCACACAAGAATAGGTACTCAACTATATTTATTTCCTTCTTATGTGTTTGTGTTCCGCACTGCGCCGCGGCTGTTTACCAGAATAGAAGTGCCTTTATATTGTGAGATACATCGCTGAAGCCATTACATACTTAGTTCGCATTCTGGTAAATTATTTGTATACTCGAAAGCAACATTTTAATGCATTTTTGTGATTTGGTTTTGCATCTCTTTGAAGCTTCCCGTTTGATCTAATTCGATTAGTTTGTACTTAGACCATAGATATCATTAACTATTTAACCGTTTGCATCTGTGTTTGCATTAATAGTGAATTTCATGTTGAACATTTGATTTTCCTCTGTCGTTAATTATTAAATTCTTTAATATAATTTTTCTTTTTTATAAATACGTCCTCTTTCTATTTAACTCTTTGCTCGGTTGAGGGCGGGTTTTAGTAAGTAATACTCCGCAAAAATGCCATTGTAAATACACCATTCCAGCGAGCATTCTGCATGATCGAAACGTGTGTTTTTCGATTGCATTTCAGGTATTAGTAAGAAAAGCAAGCACCAAACGAAGACTCAACAAAACGCGGAACAGAACACGGAAAGCGGGTTAGACCTGTCCGACCTGGACCTGAGCTCGATTCAGTTGTCCGAGGCCGAGATGCGCGCGCTGTCGGGGCTGACGCCGGCGCTGTCGCGGCGCCTGCAGCAGCAGCTGCTGGCTAGCCTGCCTCCCGCCGCCGCGCGCTCTCTGCGCCGCACGCTCTCGCTGCACGACCCCATCGCCACTTCGGCGCCGCCGCCGCGCTCGCGCTCTGCCTCCAAGGCCGTGACATCCGAGCCCACCACGCCCGCCACTAACGCGCCCCGATCCGACCTAACTGACGATCAAACCACTGCACCCCGTAACGAAGTGACCGAAGCAAAAGACAAGTCCTCCGAAACGAAGGTTCAAGTTTCTGCTTTGAAAACGGACGATTCGTTCAAGGAGGAGCTGGAGCTCTCCGCGCCGCAGTATTGCACTCTTCCTCGGCTCAAGCGGCACTCGACTCGATCTAGGGAATCTACGCCCCCGATGTCGCCCGCTGGCGATTTAGGCGAGTATGCTCCAAAAATAAGTTCACTTTCGAAAGAGCCGAGGCACTCACGAGGGAGCAGCATTCGCAGTACACCGGATCGACCACTCCTTAGCAAGTATTTAACCCCTGAGCGGACTCTTTCGCTTGACGAATCTTACTCTTCCGACGGCGGCAGTATTCTTTCGGAGCCCAGTTATATAGCGGCATACGGTGTATCGTCTATTGGAAACGCGGGTCTCGGCTTTCGGCGGCACTCCATGAGACTCGCCGGAGAACAGCCCAGAAAACGTATTTCTAGGTTTCTTCGAGCGGACTTTTTCGATTCGCCGTCGGACGAGAGCGTGTATGCTAAACATAAAAAAGAAAAAGAATTAGAAACACAAAAGATATTAAGAGAAATTAGAGAGAAAAGAAATAAATCTTTAGAGATCTCTGATGTGAAGAGTCCAACTGAGACGATTGATAGGCAATCGACATTCAAAGACGACTTTGCTCTTCCTCGCAAATGTTTGTCACCAATATCACCTATTAATAGCATTCTCTCTGCGAAAGAGCGTAGTAGATCCAATACACCGTTCTTTCCTATTTTAGATAATATAAAGGAGAGTACATTAGATTCGTCCTTAACGACAAAATCCAACCGATATGGAAAAGTCGACGATTCCAATCTATTTAATTTAACTGAAGAGAGCGTTTTGAACAAGGAGTCCAAGCTTTCAAGACCAAAGAGTTACCCCATAAAAAATGTTGAGTCTTTCAATAAGCCCAGTGAAACTGACTTAGTAGAATGTAACAGTATTGGCAAAGATAATGAATCTAAAGAGAAAACTTTGTCAAGAGAATCAAAATTATCAAGACCAAAGAGTTACCCAACCAGTAGTCCCTCTCCAGAAAAGGTTTTAATCAGCCGAAATGTCAAAAAAGTCGACACGCAAAGTGAAACGCCTAAATCAATACAGACAGAAGAGCCCCCAGACTCAATAAAAAATGACGTGGAAGTAAGTTTCAGTATTGTGCTTCCTAAGAAAAGCACAAAACCAAATGAAGTCTCTAAACCCGATTTACTGAAGAAAAATGAACCGCAAGAACAGAAAGATGATGCACCTGTAGAAGATACCAAAAAATTGGAAAACATTTTGATTCTGAAAAAATATCAAGTAATGAACAATATCTCTGATACACAAACTGTAAACAAAGCAAGTGAAAATGGAACTGCAAATAAAAACAATGAAATAATAAACTCCGTCGAAAAGACTTCATTTAACGAAGATGCCAAGCTAAAAGTAATGAATCACACTTCCAAGAAGGAGGACATTAACCTAAAATCTCCTGATACGGAATCTAACGAAAAAAAGGGAACTATCAAAAAGAAAATTATTAAAAAAGTGTCATCGAAAACAAAGACTGACGCAGGCAGTAGTCAAGAAGGCAATGGCGAAGGAAAGCCGGCAGCTGAAAAGAAAAAAGTCACAAAAAAAGTAAAAGAGAAAACTACAGACGAGGGAACAAAAACAACTACAGTCACAAAGAAGAAATCTGTTCTTCAATCTATTGGGCACAAACTAGAAAAATTGGCCTCGACGAATAAATCAAACTCACCCGATAAATTGACTGAAAATAGTGTTACTTCTAAGGAAATTAAAAAGGCCAAACTCAGTAGAATGCAGCGAGAACAATCTGTCCCTGTAAATGCCGATCCACCTACAGAGTCAAATCTTATTAAAAGGGCTGTCACTCTTACAGATGTCGCTGCACTAGACTGCCAGAATATAACTTCCAGTAAAACTACGGTTTCCAAAGTATTGGGCTTATTTAAAAAATTCGAACCTAAAGAAAAAAATCTCAAAACTGTCGAAAAATCTCAAAGTGACAATTTAGAGGTAGTGGCAGAAACTAACGGTAAAGTTGAGTCTCTATCTGATGGTCTTTCAGACAAATTTGAGGCAGATAAACCGAAAAGGCCAACATCACTGCTTTTAAACGGTCTAGGACGAAAAAATAAATATGGAAGATCTACCAGCGACTCCGTATCTGCCACATTAATTGACAACGATGATCAATCAGTATCTAAGAAAGAAAATAACTCCAAAAATTTACGAAACAGTTTAAAATTAGATTTCTCTAAATTGCCAAGAGTTAAGAAAATAGTTCCTACAAATCCTGTGATAGAGCCTCAGATGATGAATGTTACCTGCAACGAAAAGGGCGTTGAAAAGAAAGAAGCACTGGAAAAAAATGGCATAATGACAAATAGCAAATTGGACGCGAGCTTAGATAACGTAGATTCACAAAGCCGCAGTCGATCTAGGAGCAGATCGACATATTCCAATTCCGAAATAAAGTCAGATAATAGCGCTGAAACAAAGGACTCCGATAAAAATCTGCCTTCTCCCATGGACAGTACAGTTTATCACCCGCAACGAATTCATGAATCAACTACTCCTGAAAAAGAGGATATTGTGGATAGAATTCATAGGAAAAGCTTTTATTCCCGATTCAATGAGAAGAAACAAAGACGAAAAAGCAATCTAGTAGGCCCAGGAGCTGCTGAATATGATCCTGTGGCAAGAATACATGGTCAGCCAAGTGAGACGAAATTTGACATGTCCCCCACATCCCCTGTCACTTACGATATATCTCCAGGTTATTCCGTAGGTCCAGACGTTTCGCCGTCCACAGAACGCTACCGATCTCTTTTGACTGATTTGTCTAATAGTACTAGAAGTAACTTAAGGTTCGATAACTACGGATTGAACGATAAAATTGATACCTATCGATCACTTGACCGAAATGACTTTAGAAAGTATCCCGGAACTAGAAGTTATTTAGATTATGATCAGCCATCATCATATACGTCGCATAGATATACTCGAACGAAGTCACTTCTAGACAGCTCGGATGGTAACGAAGATCTCAATATTTCATCTTTACGAGATCCGCACAAATACAATCGGACAATATCCATGTATTCCCCGGGAAGTTATGCTACTTATAGGCCGAAGAGAACACGAAATTCTGCCATTATATTAAAAGAAAGCGAAAAAGAACCGAGCCCAGAAAACATACTAGAAAAAATAAGAAATAGGAAAAAAATCTCAATTAGTGTGACTCGGAAACCGGACTCCGAAAAGGAACCACTGACAAGGTGTGTATATCATTGTACTCACATGTTAACGTAAATAATTGAAAATAACTATCCCAGTGAAGATAATTGATTTGATTCTGTGCACGCTTCATGCTTCCGATTTCAATTATTCAGCACTAATGCTTTGACCAAGTTTTTGATTTCCCCTAGATGTAGAAGAAAGATATTTCTAGTAAAAAATAATTGTCGATTAATTAATTACTTCTATATTCACTATTATGGACACAATGATAAATGATCAGCGACATCACAAACAACATTTAACTGTATGTATTTTCATCACATGAAATTAATAGTCGCAATATCGCAATGAAATCATTTTTAATCATTTCAATCATGAAAGAGTAGGACGAACACAGGAAATATCTTCGAGACAGATAAAAAGAAAAGTTTATTTGAATTTCAGATCCGATGGCCCATTTAAAGGCGAAGGCGACGGTGCAGAATGCTCTGAGAAAGTTGACTGAAAGGCGCTACTAATGTCGGCTGCGCAATAAAGAGGGAATATTTGTGATTTTTTAGGTATTTGTTGAATCTTCACTTTAGCGACATATTGGGAATTCTTAATCTTTTGGGCATTGACTTACAATTATATGGACGTCGGGTCCGCGCTAAAGTGCCCGCACTTGTAAGGCGCTAAAATCGTATACAGAGCGCGACACTCCGCTTTAGTCTTCATTTGTTCTACGGACAGCGCGATACTGCGATGACATAACAATTTAAATTTGGAATAGGTTGACTTGGGACATTTTTTTCGTGGTTTTTGTATTAGACCCGTCGTCCATTTATTTGTAAGTCAATGCATTTGGGTATAATTATTCGTAGGAAGTGACATGTATCTAAGCTCCGTATTTACACCGCGTTGTTGTTAGGTTTTCGAGACTGTACTGAAGATATTCTTGCCAATCAAGTAGCCGTGTCGTAGTGACTCATTCATACACTTTCATCGACGACAGATGCTTTTTATAAGACTGTCTTTAGTGACAAATAGTAGGTATTATATCAAAAGAATCTCTCATAAATCAATTTAAATATGTTAGAAGTTGTTCCCTAAACGCTTAAAAGACGCCAGTAAATTGTATGTATTTTTGCAGTTGTTTTATTAAGTGCGCAGTGAATACTTATTTACATAAAATCTTTGTTATCTTTACTTGCAGTGGGACGATAAAGCAGTATATTTTGATACTCGAATATGGATATGTTAAAACCTCATAAATTATACAATTGACTATTGAACATAATATTTTGCAAATTTTATGGACCTTTGTTGAAATATTGTAAATCGATTATTACGTGCCTTTATACAAAGTATTAGTGACTGGATTTTATATAGTCCATTTTATTGAAAAGAGAGGAAACGACACGATTTTAGTGTGTTTGCACAATATCTTTTACTCAATCGTTTTTTTAATCTTTTCATAGCTACTATGAATTTACATTTTTACGTGACACTAAGTCAATTTTAAGTTTAAACGTATATCATAATCATATATAATTAAAGGCTAAGTCACGAACAGTAATCGAATAGAATGGTGCTTAGACGGTTTTAATAATTTATTTATAGATTGAACGTGTTATAAAACCACTTACACCAAATGTGTATATTTTAGCAATATATAGTCTACTTATAGAGTTTTCAGGTTTTTTAGATCCATTCGCGCGTAATGTAATTTATACTATTGCTTACCAGTCTAGTTGTATTGGTACAGTATTTAAGTTGTTACAGTGTTCGTTTGTTGCCATCCTCATCGATTTTAATATATGTCAATGTCGCCTAGTTCGATTATAGTGGTATTCAAAAGCAATATTTTTAATGAATCATTATTTTTTTCTTAATTTGTCATTTCGATCCTATTTATTATATTATTAGAATTGAAATTATTTATTTGGTGTGTGAGGATTTTTAATATTTTTCCTTTTAGTCATAGCTGCTACGATTGTACTGGACACCATGATTGTTAAGATCAATATTAAAATTGCTATCACACACGTTTTGTATTGAATGTGAATAAATTATATAGTTGAAAAAGATGAAGTTATTTATTTACAATTCCAATTGTGGGTATAGTATTATAATAATATTATAATAATACGTAGTTACGTAAATTCGAAATAAAAGACTAAATATTTATAATGCATGTTATTTATTACGATCAAGTTGAAATATTCACAAATCTAGTGAACTTACTTTTCAAGGACCATGTAAATAAAAAAGATCAAAATATGTAAATATGTCACGTTACTTTTAACTTTCTGTTTTATCTTGGTTGGATTCCGTAAACAAGTGAACCAGTCATATTCCTCGTTGTTTGAGAGATCAGGGGCATACCACAACCTCCTTAAAATAGGACGAAGTGGAAATAATTTTAATTACGAATTTATTTTCTAATTATTAGTGACAATTAAAACTAAGTTATTTAATTACATAAATCTCTTCGATGTTTTATTATTTATTAATACATGGGAAATAGTTTATCATTAAATAAATGATGTTTATATCGTGACTTTATGCGCTTTCACCGATTGTTATTATACTACGACTATTTCACCGATTTCTCGTTATACTACGACTGGACAAAAAGGGTCTTCAAAAAGAAAGAATGGCATTATGCAGTTCATATAGCGTTATTTCTCTCCTATTTTAAGCATGGAATAGACAATATTGGAACAAGGAATAGAAAGTATTTTAACAATAATACATTACTTAGTTGACAGATTTTTCATGATACAAATTGAGTTGGAAATATTGATTTTTGAATGTTGTGGTAGGCCCCCAGAACAGCTACCCAAAGAAGGAAAACTACTTAATATACAACTTTTCATTTGACGTGCTTATTTCTTTCCACCAAACCACATAATAATAAATGTACCGTGATTAGTTTACATACAAAGTCAACATTCAAACATATAAACATACACCAATTGATGACGACAAACACTTTAACCTTCAAGGGTCAAGAGGTCTTCATAATGAACCTTATCGGCCTCGGCCAATTGCTCCAGAATATCATGAACATTCGTGACGGGGAACCGTTCTGTCCAAGACTGGATCATGCCTTCTGCGGTCGGTTGGTACAGCTTCAGTTCGACTTTACCTCCTAAAAGTAAAATTATTTTTTGTTTGTTAACTTGTCATTCCCATTTTCTTGTTCTTTTAAATGGGGAAACTTATAAAACCGAAATTCGAAAATGTGATTAGGAAGTGAAAGAGGAAAAGATTAGATGTGAAAATATGAGATATAAATGAGTGTAAAGGAATTCTTAAGGTATATTCAGGGTGTAAATTTGAGACGGGGCAGCAAGGCCAGCCACCTTAATCGTTTTAGTTACAGGAAAACGGTTCTAGAAGACTATCCATGAATTTTGAAGATATTTTCATTGGCTTTCACAGATTTTGGAAAAATGGTACTGTCAGCAAGATAAAAGGCAATTTTTACAAAACTTTTTTTTATACCATTCGATCCGGTATCTGTTAAGGATCAATAGTCTCTACGGGACCAACTGAGGTAAGAGTACTCGAAATGTCACAAATCGCAAAAAACTTTTTACCATACAATTTGTAGGGACATAATATATTTAGTAACAGTTATTCTAGGTAGTTAAGGAAACTAACAAATTGGCAACGTATTATGTATTAGTTAAATGTAATTTATAAAAAAATACAAGTGTTCAAGAATTGAAAGACGCACTTGCAACAATTTTCAATAGAATCCATCCGAGTAAAATTTCAGCCGCTAATTTGCTCTTTGCGGAAGAGAGCGAATCGATGCATCCGCCAAGGCGGCAATAAATTCGAGCACTTACTATCATACATTTTTTATGTTATTTTGCTTTTTGTTATTGTTTTTATTTTGAAATACATAATACGTTGTCAATTTGTTAGTTTCCTCATTGTTAATTCCTTAACCTAGAATAACTGATTACGAAGTATGTCCCTATTAAATGTATGGTAAAAAGCTTTTTACGATTTCTGACCTTTCGAGTACTTTTACCTCAGTTGGTCCCATAGAGACTATTGATCCTTAACAAGAGACGTTACAACGTTTTGTAAAAATTGCCTTTTATCTTGCTGACTGTACCATTTTTCCAAAATCTGTGAATGCCAATCAAAATATCTTTAAAATTCATGGATAGTCTTCTAGAACCGTTTTCCTGTAACTACAACGATTAAGGTGGCTGGCCTTGCTGCCCCGTCTCAAATTTACACCCTGTATACACTCATCTATTACCCAAAAACATCGTTAGGGGTAAGTATAATAAAACAAGTAGTGTAACTATATAAACGTAATAGCGCGGCTTGTATGTGTGCATGTACAAATGCAAATATTCGCATAATTTCGAGATGCATCATGCGGGCCATCGCACGCGCTGTGCCAATGACATCAAATTTAGACGACGCGTTTATAGTTGTGTTTCAATGTTGTTTGAACCAGAATTAAATTCAGAGTTGTTCAGCATTTTATTGCTATTTCGTAATGATACTCCCATTACTGAGATACCAACCCGCGATGTTGATATAAAAATATTGTGTAAGTACTGCATTCGGCAAAGGTCATTTCAATATAGCACACGAATACTGTGATGAATACTTTTTTTTTTCAAATTATGTTTACTAGCTGTAGGAACTAAAATAAATAGGTGACAACCCTACGCTTCGAGAGACGTGTAGGTATTGATACGCCGGGAGTTGGGACTACTTGTCTTATTAAGTTATTATACTATGTTATAGGTCAAGAGAGGTTTGACCTCATGATCTAAAAATTTAAAAAGATTACAAATATTTTTTTAAAGGGTCATTGATCAGTGACAGGACTTAACAAAAACCTCTATATACTCAAGATAACAAACAGTTTTAGCAATAAAAAATATTCCAAATTAGCGACATAAATATTTGCTACCTCTTACGGGACTGGATGGACGGTCAACGAAAAAATATATTATACTTTGTTATGTTTATTTTTGGTAATGTGTAATGATTTAGTAAAAAAAAATAGATGTGAAATAATGTCTCCTTACCATTGTTAACGGTATTCGCCTGTACGAAGATGTTGCGAGGCTGTTTATGTTTAAGCACGATGTCTCGCCATGATGCCCATGCGCCGTCCACTTTGGAGTACTTGTCGAACAATTTGTTGCCAGCTTTCACGTCGCCCGTCGACTTGATAGTTTGCAGTTTTACCAGAAATTCACCTGTATATAATAACACAGAATTCAATTAAATTCACTTTGTTGCAATCACAGACGCTATTGCATAGCATTTAGAAGAACAAGAGTGTGTAACGGCCAGTTAACACTAAGTAGTCATACAAGTTTCTTCAGATATTCGACCAATACCCAACGGGCAAATGGCCGGGCAGGACCGTTAGACAGGTCCATGAAGATGACTACTCACAGGTCACAACTTGTATCAAGAGACGCAGCCCAATTTTATAAGGTCATTTATTGCTGGGGTCGCACTTGCGTCTGTCATCACGAATCTTCGCATTATGATACGATGCACGCTGGTATAACCACCCATTATCATCGCGAATGTTCGGGCTGCGTACAAGTTATCACTCGGGTGGCGGCACATCAAAGGATTTTAGCGCGTTAAACATGGCGCCGCTTAGTCAGACTATCGTTGTTTATTTCGATCGTTGGACTCGGACAGATTCGACGTAGTCTGTCTCTAAATACCAAATGGTGTGGAACGAAGAAATGGTCTTGCAATTTTGAAGTTGAACCCATCATATTAGCTCCAAAGAATATCCAACATAAAAAAGTTATTGCTAGCACACATGTAGAAGTAAAGGAAGATGTCGGTCATAGTCATAGATATTAGTCTATACGTCTGGATATTGTATTGCGGTCATTTTAGGTAATTACACAAACGTAACATTACGAAGCCACTAGTGTGACCAACCGCATTAGCGCGATAACTTTTTGCGAGCTAAACATACGAAGCTTCGGCACGCATTGCTTCGTGATGATAGGCGCAAGTGTGGCCCCAGCACAAGAAACGTTATTCATACAAACCTATGATTCTTTTCCCGTCTGTTTTGATGCGGCTCCTGTCCAACTTTATAAGTAAATTCTTGCCAGGGTCCGTTTCAGTAATTTCTAGCATCCCGTTGCCTTCCAATTCTAGTAATCTCATAAGGACGAATCGAGCCTGCGCGTGTGCCTGTTATGAATGATTAAAGACTGTGCTTTTTATAAATGATATTATGTACGTAAACTTGATTGTTTACGGCTGATACATCAAGCCCGATTTCCAGTTAAAATCTAGGTAAGCTGAAATAATATTCAAAGGAGTAATTTCTCTTACCTGGAGCCAAGTTTTAGTCGCAGGTTGGTACAACTCCAGCGCTTTCGCGCACGCATTCCACAACAAGCTGAGCCAGTTGACGTATATAACATTTTCAGCTTCTTCTGCCTTGTAACCGAATATCCTTTAACATGTTAGAACAGAAAAGTAGACCTTAGAAGCATTCACTATGCTGTACACAAGGATAGGACAATAAACTTATGGTCTAGATGTCCTTAATTTTGGCACAATTTTACCGAGAGTACTTTTAACATGTTAACTAAGGGCTCATAAGCAAATAATCTGTTTTGTTTTTGTGTTCAAACAAATGGTGTGCCGTGCGTACACGCGTTATTTAAGATTACCGCGTATCATCACAAATGTGACGATCACAGCCCAGTGTACATTTGCACTGCTCTAATATTTAGTATGATATATATGTATACACCTTTTTACGACCTCTGTATCCCTACAGTATGCACTGTGAGGCTGGATGAGGAGGTCCCGGGTTTGGTTACCAGTAGGACAGATTTTGGAAATGAAATTTTCTAAACTGGTTTGTTTCCTTTGCTGTAGTGCTCATAATACAGAGAATTTACTAGTTTGAGACAAAGTAATTGGTGTCATTATCTGGCAGATTATTATTATTACTGTGGCTGTGCGTATTGCCTTAAGTGTAATTTGTATGGCCTTATTCAGGGTCGTATTCCAGAACCCTACTCAATGCTCAAGTCAGGATCTGAATATGATTTTGAAACCGGAAATACGACCGTAATGGCAGGGACTTGAGTATGATTTCGAGTGCTTCAAACCACACTCAAATCCTGACTTGAGCATTGAGTAGAGTAGAGTTCTAGAATACGACTCTCAGAGCCTCAGAGTGGCGGCGGGCGCGGGTGCGTGTAAATGAAAAGGACGTAGACGCTCGTTGCGTTCACAGTAGCCGCGCGCGCCGGCGCCTGTCTCGAGGCGGGCGCGGGTAGATCTATTGGCTCGGTCCGCTCTTATCTTCACAACGCTTAGTGTAGCATCCGTTTGCGATTTCGACGTGTTGATCTACCCGCTCGTACCCGCTTCGGCACTGTGAAAGGGAAGACGCAAAGACCCGCGCGCTCGCACCCGCCACCGCGCCCGCGCCTGCACTCTGAATGAGCCCTATAAATGCCGCTAGAGTCCATTGGAGTAAACGGACATTAGTGTTAAATAGTTTTAATTTCAGCTTACTTCAAAATCTCTGGTTCCAAGCAGAGGTAGAGGCCGACGGCTTCGGCGCGGCATTCTTCGAATGCGGAACCCACGTTTGAAAATTTGCTGTCATAAGTATCACCCTCCCCGTACCATGACGTTATGAGTTCCCCTAAAACATTGTTTTACAAATATGTGTAATTTTTTCAACAGATCAAGGGTGCTGGTGAAATTATAGGCACTTGGGACTTGTCTACTTATATCTCAGGGTGACGGGCGCAGTGGCAGTACCCCTAAGGTCATTGCGATTTAAAGCTCTGAGTGGCACTGCAACTGTTATGGATAGCCGTGTCGCTTACTACCAGGCGCACGACTTGTCCGTACCATCACTTGATATTATAAAATAAAATAGGTCGTTTCAAAGATTTTTGCGGTCGTCAACGCATTACACGTCCACTGATGGGTTATAAGGAGAGGGCATTAGACCATAGTCAGCCACGCTGGCTTGATGCGGGTTGGGAACTTTACACGTTTGCCAAGAGTTATGATGAATTTTCTAACCGGCGGACGGTGAGCGTCGCAGATAATGTTATGCCCGTCAGCGCACACTGCGCTTGTTCGGTATAGTACAAATTCTGGATTTGTCGAGGAACATCGATTACGATAACCGCGAGCTACCGCCAGCGTACCGCAGCGTCCGCTCCCTTCCGTTTGCCGCTACCCCAGCGCATAATCGGTGGACTTCGTCGCGCTAGCCACTAGCGTGCTCTTCCATATTACAAGACCAGAAACATTGTTTTAGGTACATGACACTTTGAACATTAACGTTCTTCTTACAAGTGCCGTAGAGGTGATTGTAGATCTTAAGAATTAAGCTTGAGATGCCATTGACGCTTTACATCCCTGAATATATTTTATACTGGCGACAATATTATTTTTGTATGAAAGTCATTTTCGGCATTTACATCGGCTACTGGGGTCCTAGAGCCGCAGATGAATAAAATTTGACAAAAACATAATATGTGGTTTAAAATCTTCCACTAATCTTTCATACATTTTTTATAAGGCTGGAGTCTCTGCCTAGCGTATGTAATTCCGTTATTATTAATGATATTTATACTCTACAAACGAAATTGTTTCGGTGTTTACTTCGAGTTCTAAAATTTCAAAATTAAAATGGAGACAAAAGAAAAAGAACATTATTCTCTGGGGCAAAAATAATAAAGACGTCCTTCATGCGACCTCAAAACCTGACTGAACGAATAAACTTTAACTGGACTAAAGTGCTAAATAAGTGTTAACCGCTGATTTGGTGGAATAATGAATTAAACCATTTCAATATGCTGCAAATATATAGCTAATTTGTAATGGGTACTCTGTAAAAGATAGAAGTGATCGGGTGAATTAATTACCTGTTAATGGATTTTTAACCTTGTTCTTATCGAAGTTGAAAACTCCAGGCGCCGTTTCACGGAAGAGCTTGCCGCTACCGTGGCCTAAGAGTTCGTGCAGTCCAACTTGCACCTGTCAAAGTCAGTAAAAAAATTATATTTGTTACTAGCATGGAGCTTCCAGAATAGTTAGTGGTAGGGCGCGTTCCCATTATGTCGTAACGTTTTATTTATCGTTGGACGACTGTCGCGTCTAGCCTGTTTCCATATCACAACTATCTGTGGTGACTGTATCGTGGACGTTTAATTCATGGTTACTCATAAGTATAAACATGATTTACAAAATTTTGTTTTCCCGAAAACCTTTAAACTTTTATTAAATAGATTTTGTTTCATTTGTCCGAAAACACAATTTAATATACACCATTTAATGTTTCACTATTTTGACATATTGACAAGTTATTCGTTTCCCGATTCTTTTTTTCCCAATTTACCATTTCACCAATATATGTAACTGAATATTTTATTTTCGTAAAAAAAAACGATATCCATTTTCTTAAATTATTTCTACCGATATTAAATATATTAGAACGTGTCACACAATACAAATCCTAAAATTAACATAGCACCTCGTGTCTTTAGAAAATATAGTAAACGAGGTGCAAATTAATTTGATCGAGATGTAGTGGCTCGCTTTGCTCGCTCGGTTCGTACGGCTTCTGACCTAACCTAAACCCACAGGAAAGGGTCGAATCAGCTAGGAATTGCGGTTCTAGCACACGCCGGCCAGGTCCTGGTACGACCTAGGAAACGAATTTGTTTAAATTCGGTTCTGGCACTCGCCTGCTGCAGCTGCGCCACGCTCGCTTCGCTTACTCGGCTCGTGCGGTTTTTTCATATACTAACCTAACCTAAACCTGCAGGAGGGGGTCGTACCAACTAGGAAATGCAAACGTAAAAAAAGTTACACGTTATTTATTCGTTAGACCATTGTTTTTTATATTACATTTCAGATGACAGCAAAAACAAAGCACAATGGTTTGACGAAAATTACGTAAGTGGGACTTGCAGTGCACCAGCAAAGGTACGGTAAATTGGTAAATTGTACGGCGGTACAATTTTATCGAAGAATAATAATTTTGTCGAATCGAATTTTCAGCAATCTAAATTATATAACAAACATCAATCGATCAAACAAACTTCTGCCCAAATAATATATATGCGAATAATTATTCTAATAATAAGTTTTACGACAAACGATATTTCTGCAGTAAGACATTTCTGTGTTGCAAATTTATACAAAATCTCATCGCACTAATGTAAAAAAGCCTACCGTGTTCAGAGTAATGAAATTCGAAAAAAAGGAATTCGAGTTTGTGATGGGTTACCTTATTTTATCGTTGAACGACTGTCGTGTCTTAGCTATTCCCACTAGATCGTGAAGACAATTCATCGGTTCCCGGAAGCCGCTTTGTCGTTTGCACGGTATGATCATTTGAAGTTGCGATTATCTGTCGTCATATTTTTATCGTGATATTTTATAGTTGGACAACTGTCGTTCTAGCTCTTCCCATTGTTACGACAATCTGTCGTAACGTCAAAAAACGCGCGAACGACAGTTAAACGTGTTGTTCTATGTGTGAACAACTTCATTTAAATATACAAGGCACGACACTTTAAACTGCACGACTATTCGTCGTCACGACATAATGGGTCCGTAGTTTCATGCTTAGGTTAGCTACAGAGTTATAGACCATATACATGTTTACAACGTGTAAACTTACATTACGTGTAAACGTACACTTTTACAGGTTCGATTCCCGGTAGAACCAATTTTAAAACGAACTTATCTAAATTGTTTGTTCTGGGTAGTATATATATAGTAGCGAATTCCGTTGCTCTGGTACTCACAGTAGAAGGGATTCCCTAGTTTGAGACTAAGTAATTGGTGTGATAAGTCTAGCACATTATTATTATTAATTAAATTTTATATCAACGATTTTAAGGTGCATTTAAGTTCAAAATATCTAGCCAACATATTCTAATGATCGAGTTATAAATGGCTTATATGCAAATCTAACCTCAAATGCATCAATTTTGTACTTCTCAAGCATTGCCTTGTCTGCCTCCGAAACAAACGGCATGTCTCTTCCCTTGTACGATGCTGGAATCACGTTGCCTAGCGACACGTTCTTAAAACCGACGTTCTCGCGAATTTCGTCATCTGTGTTAAAGAAGCGTTTTTTCGTTGGCGTAAAAATTGTTTATTCTAATTATTGATACAAAGATCAAACAAAAACAAAGAAAAATTTAGGAAATGAAACTATTTTCCGGATTTAAATCCCGTATATTTGTTTTTTCAAACAAACCGACGAAACAAATATACGCGATTTAAATCCGGAAAAATAGTTTCATTTCCTATGTGTAACAATCGCGAAAACCTAAGAACTCGAAAAGAAAAATTTCTTCCAACCACCTGAACTCGAACCATTGTCTGTTGCCTCAACGTGGTTGCAACTATATAAGTTCTCACAGGTGGCGCTACGGCAAAAAAAAACCGTTTAAACCCAATAAAAAAATCCGCCACAAGCACGTACGTAAATTCGTAAGATCTGCTGGCTCGATCCGTAATTGAGGTGGCAGAGCGGTAGCCATGTTGAGGATACAGGCTCCATGATTGACTGGATAGTCCGTATGGAGCCATGCAGTTAATGCGTGAAATCGTAAGGTGTAATGAAATTATTTTTCCGCATTTAAATCCCGTATATTTGTTTTTTCAAACAAACCAACGTTTCGGGCCCTTTACTGGTCCCATAGTCACGGTTGAGTGAGGTGGTAGAGTCATCAACCAGTTATGTCTAATAGTCTAATATTAATGCAAACCACCCTATTTTTTCAATATAGTTACAAAAGTTATTAATTGAGTACATTATTTTTAATTTTACAAAGAAACATTCCAATTTTCGTTACATTGTTTTACAAATTATTTTATTGTAACAATCTGAATTTTTATTAACTTAAATTTATTATTAATAAATAATGGAAATTAGAATAAATTAAAACATATTAATTAGCACTGCAGTCTTATGTCTGTTTGGGATTTTTCATCAGAGGAAATCCTGGATCTCAAACTGGTGGTATGGAGAAACCATCTTCCCTGTTGAAATTAGGATGTTTTTTAATTTCAATGGCCTCTCACAGCATCCTGGGTAGATAACGGACTTCTTTTGCAAGGACCTGGGGTTCGTCAAACTTCATTGAATGTGTAGGTTTATCCATGACATGCTCGCAGACTGCAGACTTGTTTACGCGACGGTGTTTGACATCAGCTATATGTTCTTTGAAGCGGGTACAAATACTTCGCTTCGTTTTTCCGATATAAGAGAGACCGCACTCGCAGTCAAGCTTATCAAACCTGCATCCTGTAAGGGGATGTTACATTTCACGGGTCTCAGGAACTCAGAAATCTTCTACAGGGGCTTGAAATAGGTCTTGATAGATGCACACCCAAGGACTCTTCCGACGTTATCTGTAACACCTCTCATGTAAGGTAAAATGGCAGGTCTTCGCTCGATTGTTGGTGGTTTCACACGGGGCCTGCGGCATTGGCGTGGAATCTTCAACTTATTCGCATCTAATTTCAACAGGAAAGATGGTTTCTCCGTGCTACCAGTTTGGGATACAGTATTTCCTCTGATGAAAAATCCCAAACAGACATACGACCGCAATACTAATTAATATGTTTTAATTTATTCTAATTTCCATTATTAGTAAATAATAAATTTAACTTAATAAAAATTCATATTGTAACAATAAAATAATTTGTAAACAATGTAGCATAAATTGGAATGTTTCTTTGCAAAATTAAACATAAGGTATTTAATTAATAACTTTTGTAACTATAGTGAAAAAATAGGATGGTTTGCATTAATATTAGACATAACTGGTTGATGACTGTACCACCTCAGTCAACCGTGACCATGGGACCTGTAAAGGGCCCGAAACGTTGGTTTGTTTGAAAAAACAAATATACGCGATTTAAATGCGGAAAAATAGTTTCATTTCCTATTATTAAGTTCAGTTAAATAATTCAATAGCAAAAGTAGTGTACGCATCAATTTCTAATCATATTGTCATTTGTGTTAGTTTTATTTAAAATTTTAGTTTAACATAGTTTTGTTTCAGTGCATGTTGTGTTTACCTCTAAGTCTTTGAGGCAATTACATCGCTTATAAAGGTATCATAAGATATAGTAAGTAATATTGTACCCAGATGTTAAACCTAATAAATAAATAAACAAGTCATTATCTGAGACTTCGACTGTATGAAGTTGATAACGACTTCACGCATTAACTGCAAGCAGTCGAAATAAACTTCACGCAGCCGAGATCGCCTGCATGTAGCTAATGCGTGAAGTCGTTATCAACTTCATGCAGTCGTGGTTTCGGCTGCATGAAGTTGATTACGGTAAATGCGTGAACGCATTAACTGTAAACATGCAGTCAATCTGTTAGCAGCCTTAAATAATTAAGTGATAACTTACAGTTAGGAATGTTAATGCCTGCCGGTATTCCACTTCCAGCGAAGCAGAGGACATCTAAACTCGTGAAATCAGGGCGTTTGAACTCGTCCTTTTCTAAGTCACGTCCCCAAGGGAGAAGTGTGATAAATTTCTCAGCACTGATAACCAACTCGCTGAACTTCTTTGACATTTCTTTATTGACCATTGCTACGAACGCTTCAAATTCACCACGTTGGCCACTTGGATCTCTGTAGGTCTCTATGAAACCTATGTATCTGTGAATATTTTTTAATTAATATAAGACGCATGCTTTACAATGGAATGGTGCTAATTGAAACTTGTGTGTCTGTTGATGATGGTGTACAATCATATAGAGATGAACTTTATTTTGTGTTAACATGCAAGAAAGACAGTGTTTATGAAATAGCTCATTACTCGTGAACCTCGAAATGGTGACCTACTCCGTCCGTACAATGATATTCATTTTTTTGCGAAATAAAAGCACACGGAGAAATTCGAAAGTTCTGCGAGGTTCGAATCCTGCCAGATCTAAGGAATTATTCTATGAGTTGTTCGATCTTTGTATCATAATAATGATTAATTGAATATCAGGATGTTTCACCACTATGATCTTCAATTAATTATTAATACAAAGATCGAACACTAGAAAAAAGCCTTCGATCCGGCTGGGTTCTAACCAACGATCTCCTGCAAACCGTGCCATACGCTATGCCAACGAACTATTTTTTCTATGTGCTTGTTGCAGATCTTTGTTTTTGGTTTTTTAACGACTTTTTTGCAGTACCGCTATCTGTGAGAAATCTATTTTTTTACTCAGCCAGGTACGTTTACAGCTACCAGCAGCTGACTAGAGATGTCGTTTTAATAATTGTAATTAAGTTTATATGATATTCAATTATTCCGTGGCTTAGTTGGCATAGCGTCTGGCACGGTTTGCTAAAAGACGTTGGTTCGCATACATCCGGATCGAAGGTTATCTTTCTATTAATAATAATAATAACTAATGTTAGTATTGTCAATATAACAAATTGGTTCTTCAAAGCTCGGCAATGAAGAACCATACAATACAATGTTACTGCGTGGTTACTACTGTTAATGAAAGAACGAAAAGTATCAAAAACAATGGGTCTTATACTACTTACGTTTCAATAATAGGGCCTTTGTTTTTAATCCAAAATTTGCTTCCTTCTTTGTGATCATCCAGATTGCCTTCTTTGAAACTCTTGATGTAATGTGTGAGCATATCTTTCTCAGTGTCATTGGCGGCATGTTGTTTCGCAATCTCAAGTTGGTCAGTTACCAATTTTAACAGAGGAGAATAATCGCCTCTAGTGATTTGAAAGTAGGCATTTTTAAATACCTCTTTCTCCATTGTCAAATTCGGTTTCGGCGAAGTTTTTTCGCTAGCCAAGTGGATTATGTATACGGGCACTGTAATACCGTTAAAATATTTCAGTATATTGGTGTTTACACATACCCGTAATAGCGATGCGTAGATATATAGAAACAAATGGCAACTCCTAAAACTTACGTCCATCAGTGTGTTTAGATTTGAAAGTTCGACTGTTAACGGCTTCGATTTTTTTCGACTTCATCCATTCCGAGACGAGCTTTGCATCAGTTTCGTTGCAATTACTTGAAAAGTATGTTGTGACACCCTAAAATATTATAGTTTAATTAGGTGCAGTGAGTCACTGTTAGATGTAGACAAACTGACAAAATTGCCCTATGAAAATTTTACCCTCCATCGTTCATAAAGGTTTAGTCTGATAAGTGCATAATGATGCTTAAATGTTAACCAGTGACAGAGCTTGCATATAATATTAATAAGTAATAGTAAATCTATTAAATTCTTGTCTCCATGCATATAATATATACATGTATCTTGCATAACGTGACTAATTCCTGATACTTATATTATTATCACTCATAATTTCAGCCAAGAAATATCCACTGCTGGTCATAGGCCTCCTCCAAAGATCAGCATAACGGATGGTCTTGCGCTGCTTGTATCCAGCGAATTACCGCTACCTTCACCAGGTAATCGGTCCACCTGGTGGGCGGTCTGCCCACGCCGGGTCTCCCAGTACGAGGCTGCCACTCGAGAACTCTTTGTTGGAGACATTGGCTATCTGTTCTATGAGCAGTCATTTAAGTTTCATAGTGCTTTAGGTTATGTCAGTTACTCGATAGTTGTGTACTCTAATTTTATTTACGAAAGAACAATAATGTTCTAGTTGTACTAGCTTTATAAAATATATTACGCAATAATCATGTAATACAAACCTTATCAGACAATCCAAGACTTCTTAGTCTCGGCGCTAAATTGTACATAGCGTTTTGTGTATTCAGCCACAACTTAGTGATATGTGTCGTATCATTCTCATACGCTTTGGATGCTTTAATGATCTGTTCAAAAGTCTCCTTGCTGAGGTATGGAATGAATTTTGTATCCCCAAAACCTTTGTAGTTACCCATGTTGCTGAAGAATCCACCAGCATAAATTAAAAATGCCTATTTAAAAAATTCAACACTTAAAAACAACAATAGTGTGTATCATCATGTGGAAGAAATGAGGTATCAAAATCATATAGTAGGTGCACATCATTTGTAACAGGTTATATTGTGTCAAAAAACACCTCAAATTGGTTACTATAAAACAGGAATTGATAATGTACTCAAGTACCTACAACAAATAATTATATCTAAATATGAAGAATTTATGTTTGTTTTATTCTTTATGACATCACACACACACACACACACACACGCACACGCACACGCACACGCACACGCACACACACACAAATGCTTATGTATACTAGATAAATTCTAAAACAAAAATTATCATAATTATATACTGATTGTCTTTTGCTGAGTACAGTATTTAATTGTAAAACAAAGATATGTTTCATAAATTTTATCATGAATTGGTACTTTCATAATAAGTAATAAATTATAATTATCTTTATTACCTGAAAATCATCTTCAGAGACCTTCATCTCCAAAGCAGACTTCTTGAGAGACTCCAAACTTTCTCCGAGAAAAATTCTATGTAACAGGGAGAAGATCCGTGGTGACTCGGGACTGGTCTGTAGAAGGACTATTAGACCTCCACTCCAAGCAGCCTAGAAATAAAATAGTAAAAAATACATGGTTACATGTCTTAAGTGGTTTAAAGTAAAGGCTTAAAAACGTTTGTTTAAAGTTAATTAAGCCGTGACAAGGTACTTAAACACTTTCTGATGACTGTATTGTATAGTTGTGAAAACATCTTGAAAATGCTATTTTCAATAAATAAACACGCCACAAAAATGATATAAAATAATTTCTAATCTTACCTGAGTCAAATAATGCGCATACAATTTCTCTTGATCAGTCAAGTTGTTAAATGCCTCAGTACAGTCCAGCTCAACAAACGTCTGGGTTTTGGGCAAGTAGTAGTTAGACATATCATCCGCCATCGCTGAAAGGAAAAGATTCTAGAGCATAGAGACATAGAATTGTGTAAGCAATACAATATAATACAAATTATACAATGTCAATATAAAATTTTATGTAAGTTAATAAAATTTTACAAAAAAAAAATTCGTTTTAAAAATTTGCAAAGGCACTTTGTAATTGCATAATTGCAGATTGTCATGGAGTACATTTTTTATATTTTTGATAATGATGGCCGTGTTACATTACCCATGATTTGAAAAAACAAAATCAAGTAGACAGTTTGTTTTTAACCGACTTCAAAAAACGGAAGAAGTTCACAATTCGACTGGTAGGCGTTAGCTGCTGCTGATAACTCATCGGTATTTGGGAACCGATGTTGGTGATATTTTTTTTGTTGGAAAGGGGTACCTCAGTAGTGGTGCATTTAAATTTGAAGAAAATATTCCATCTCTAAGGGTGGCAAACTAGGGCGTGTATTCGGATTCGCGCACCGATTTCAATAAAACTTGGCAAATAGATGTAATTCAACGAACTTTTGAGGTCGGTTTTTTTAGTACTTTGTACTAAGATTATCTGAGCAGACACATCATTAAAGTAGACCTATCGGGAAAGTAGACGAAATGGGAAATAAATGAATGGGGAAAAACAAGTGGACCGATCGGGAAAGTAGACCAATTGTACCGAAGAGGAAATTACTTGACCAGTAATTTTAGCACTTTTACTTTTATGTAAATATGCAAATTTTTCAAATTCTTTGAAACATTTAGGTCAGAACATTCAGAAGCTTGCATATAACACAATATAGTGAATTGATAATTCATAGAACACCACAGAATGTATACACACTAGCAGGTTTCATCATGATGTTTTCCACCACAGTTAGGAAGAGGTCTTGCTACTATAGTCGTCACCAAATAAGAGGTCAAATTTGTCAGCTAAAGAAGGTAATAGTATGTAACTTTGAATGCGATCAATGAAACAATAAACAAATAATTATTAGCATAATTGAGTTTAAAAAAATACATAAATTTTATTGAAACATTATATAATATGACAAAGCATATTTAAAGCACTGTCTTCGCTCAAATTCCAAAATACAATGCAATTTTGAGTTACACCAAAACGTCCAGAAAACAGTTACATCCTCAAGCTATATTTTTTTAAATAATAGTGATGTAAGAAATTAATCGCCGAATTTCACCAAATCACTTCAATTTGTTGAAAAAAATATTTTTAAAAAGTATTAGAAAAAATTATGAACATTATTTAAGATTGTTTGTTGTTGACATTGACAACTTCTAACTTATTGCCAGCCGAATAATTCAAAATTTATGAAACCATAAATTTTGAATGATTCGGCTGGTTTCTTGGCCTTGGTTTCTTGGCAATTTAATTTTTTTATGTAGTCGTTTTATTAATGAACATAATTATTTACACTAAATTCTCATAATAAACTATTTAATAAAATAAAACAATAATAAAAAAAATAAAAAATAAATAAATAATAAATAAATAATATAATAAAATCAAATTAAAAGAATTGGATACAATTAATCCAATTGTGGGACAATTTTATGAAAATAAGAGGAATTGCTACAGAATTCTGTAAATGAATTGCTTTTAACAGAATTGCACGATTTGGCCTTTTAGGCCCACTAAATAAACAATTAACTGAAAAATAATCTAAACAAACTCAAACTCTTAAAATTTCAAATTGATTTCTCATGAAAATCGTATAATGTTATTACTGATATGATTAGTCCGCATCTCTATTTGCGTCATGATGACAAGTGTCAAATTTGGCCTCTTATTTGGTGACGACTATAAACATTAACAAACAGTATTAGAATTTTTAATTTGATCACCACAGCACTAAAAAAAATTATTTTGACCCCATACATATAATGGTCAAAATCAAAGTAGTAAGACAATCAAAAGGTAATTTTTATGGTCATAAAACAGTTGACTGTCCAAGAACTCCTAGCCAATTAATAATGATAGGAGTAGACGAAATTATAAAACTACTCATCAGGCGGTACGAAAGCGGGCACCATAGAAAATAAAGAATTTTGATATTTTTTTAAGATTATTTTTAGTGTTTGTTTCGGATAGATTAGATATAAATAAAGAAGCGGGCACCATAGAAAATAAAGAATTTTGATATTTTTTTAAGATTATTTTTAGTGTTCGTTTCGGATAGATTAGATATAAATAAACACTTTTTGTTCTTAACAATTTTATTCCGCGGGCGATAGTTTTCGAGAAAATCAAGATGAAAATTGTTCGTTTACAAGGCTACAGGACAACAACATTCCAGCGTCCTTATTGCCCCCTTTCGTACAGTCCAACCAAACTACCTACTGTTTCAAATGAACCAGGTCAAAATAATTTACAAATTTTGTAATTTCTGTTTTCAGCTAGGTACTGACCATTAACTGTGATCGGCGATAAGTTTTTAGGCTGATTCGTTCTCGAGACCGAACTGTATTTGTATTTACTAATAAATGATTCAGCGAATTTGAAGCGCCGGCATTTTATAAGGTTAATAGTCAGGGTCCGCAACATTGAATAAATTTTAGGAACTGAAACAATTACACATAAGGACAACCAATTTAAGACTGTTAAAATAATTTACTTACTGGGAATTAACATTCTTAAATTAAGGGAACGTACAGAAGAGACGCAGCGCAATTTGTAGGCACTAAGCAGTCGATTGTAAATGCACAATGGCACAATCTGTAAATTATTTTAGGTTATGTTTAAGTAGGAAATGAGTAGTAGATATGTGTTTACGAATAGTGTTTAGAATTTAATTAATCTTTAATCTTATTCACAATACAGACACAAACAAATTAATTAAATGTCAAGAACAACAAAAAATGTGGACAAGTGTAATAAAAAAGAAAGGCAATTCTGCAATACTGACAAAAGTCACAATGTTCAGCTAAATATTTACAATAGTTGCCTTCGTCAGCCGACATTATTATGTCAACCGACATTTTGCGTCAGAGAATTTTAAACTTTTATAAGTCAATGCTTTTATGCCAATTATTGGCCAACCTAACATGGAACATCCACTTTCCTTTCTGAATAGATGAAGCCAGCCTTTAAAAAGTGAAGGAAACATACTTTCTAAACGCGAAACCAGCGGTCAGTGTTGTATGCAACTAACTATAATAGCTATTTTTTATAACAGTCACAAATCTCAAAAAATACTTTCATATTTTATAATATATTATAGAACGTTCGTTGTGTTACATCAAACAAGGCGTTGATATAAATAGGTATTTTGCAATAAGATATAGTTTTTGAAGACTAAAGCTGCGGTAGTGAGTTGTTGCTAAAGCTTTAACAGCTATTAATGCAATTACTTATGATCAAAATCAAACATTCGTTGAAAGATCTATAATCCAAAATATTTTGTGTACTACGGCTGGGATAAACTGTTATTTTACTCCCATGTATGCACGATTTTTGTTCCGAACAGATTTTTTGGATCGTAATGCAGCATAATTATTATACTCCTGAATCGATCTGTGTATACATATCGGAACGTATGTTCTTAAAATCGATCGCATAAAAATCGTTTCAAAATTTGTAATAAACAAAACACACTTATAACGTGATTTAATTGCCAAGATAATATGTAATTTTTTTGCTTTTCACAGATGCCAATCGTTTACATCTTACTAAACTTTTCAATAATAATGTTAAATAAAATGTCACAAGCATTGTTCTTCTCTTTATTTTCCGTATCTGGCCTTGACGAAATCATCAATCAATCAATTTAAACAAAAATCTAATGACTTTCGATTCGTCTTAATTTTGAATCGACTCAAATAATCGCTAATTCATAAAAAATCGAATCGCAATGTGCATCCCTACCTCGTGCCATTCAAGACCTTATACGCGATGCAAGAGAAGTTTCATACGTATTAATACAGTTACTAATTACGAATATTAGACTCTGAATAACGAGTACATTTTTGATTGGAAGCCCTATCCATCAATGAAGTAAACATTCAAAATGGATGGTTCTCTTTCGTTCGTAATTTAGATTTTTAGGTCAAATAAATTGTTTACAATGTCTAAATAGTGTGTAGGCGAGTTGTTATAATCTAAACAAAATGTCCTCGGAGAGGTAAATTGATACATTTTAATTCAGTGTAATATGTTGACAGATTGCGTACAATATCCGTAGTTGGAAACTTGCAAAATCAATAAAAGTACGCGGAAATCGCTAATGTCACGCCCTGAATTTTCCGTAAATTGCGGTTGTGATTTGGTGCGGAGTGCAGTGTTGTTGAACCGTAGTCATGTTCTATTCCAGGGTAGAATGGGTGGAGATAATCGAGCCCAAGACAAAGGAGCATATGTATGCTAACCTAACTACTGGAGAGTGTGTTTGGGATCCACCTGAGGTGATTTCACGATTTTTCTTTCTATTATGATATCCTGGTATCCTTGGTTCTATAATTTATATAATTGTGATTAATGTTGCTTTATAACTGCCCCTTAATGTTATAATGTAACATTTTATTGAAAATTTCTAGCCCATTTAAAAATGTACTTTAATTTAAGATTTTCTCTAATGATTTCACCCTGACTGTTTAATCGTCATTCAGTGGCATCTCAAATAAAAATAAAATTAAATCTGTGTTCTTAACTAAATAAAGTTCATGAAACAAACTGACCTTGATCTCAGTTCGTTAAGAAGTGAGTTTTACTTCTACAATTTGTACATTTGTACCCAAGTAATTGTTACAATATTTAAACTAAGGTTTAGAATAGATCAATTCAGCATAAATATCATAAATGCATGCTTTGTTTTAGCTACTTGAAAGTACATAATACTTTGCTGTCATTGATGATATAAGTGAATTTACATTCTAGTAGTTTATGGAGTTGAAAAATTTGAAATTGGTTCAACAGTGCCTAGACATAGATATTACCTTGAACAATTTATGACTGTAAGTCCTAATTCATGAAAACAATTGAAGTTGCATCAAAATACCTTTTTGTAGCACTACATTTAACTTTCAAGGTTACCAAACTATTCAGTATATACATACTAAAAAAGTGAAACTAAAATCGATAATATTTTGAGATTTTAAATTTTCATGTATTATTGTTATATACTATATTGTCAGCTCTTAAAACTTAGACATGATATTGAAAAGATACATCAAGTTTCCCTTGGCTTTCGTTTCACCTCTAATGACGTTAATTCTTATATTTTCTTTTTTGTTAAAAAAACTAAGTGCATTACCTGCTGAATGAGGAGAGGCCTGGTCTATTTAACGATATATTATAATTGAAAAGGAACCAAAGTTAACTTGAATATAACTTTGCATTAAACCTAAAACTGTTTAATATCATTAGTTCAGTGATTGTTATGACCTTCTTTGTCGCCGCCTGCTTGGTATAACCGGCCAGCAGGCAGCAGACTGACAGAATATCTATTTTGATTTGTCTTTTGTTTTTGGATTTGGTTTGATTTTTTATTGAGACGAAATAAAGAGTCGTTAGTATCTTGGCTTTTTCTTCGTTTTCAGTGATGTTTTTCTTGTATTGTTTTTAATTGAGTCCATCAAATGAGATCAAAGAGCATCATAACAACAGATCCTTATTTATTCAGTCAATAATTGTATGCAATTCAATTCAAATTAAAATCTTAAAAAATAACTATGAATATGACAAAGTTAATAATAATAATAATAATAAAAATTTCTGAAATTGATATTTACTGTACAAACAACAGTATCTTTACATAACAAATTGTATATAGTCTGTTCCAATCCATTTTCAACAAAAAGTAAACAAAACTGTTTTGTTAATCACTCAATAAATCGAACAAGTAACACTCACGTATATTTCGAAGATTTCGACTTGATATCTATAATTTATTCCAACAATATTTATTTGAATAGCACCGTAAAACTGTGTTTGAAAAGTGGTAGTCCAAAAGTGAGGTTATTTTTCATCTATACATCTATGACTTATATATGGTTGCATAGTGCTGTACAAAAAAAAAAACATTAGGTTCATTTAATTAAAGTTTTAGTAATCTATTAGTAAATCGAATATTTCAATCGCAATTGAATGAGTGTCAAAGTTTAAGGATTTGAAGGAGGACTTAAAATGAAGATTTTGACAATTTTGAATAACCTTAAGGTAATGTAGGGAAAACCGCTAGTATGACTCAGTTGAACAAATCAACTCATTCAAATAATTAATTCATTTGTAGTTGGCATTACAATTGGTCATCACTAAACCGTCTATGGTTGGGTCAGTGACTTGTTTGTTTACATTTTGTTCAAATTGGATTGAAATGAAGTGTAATTAAGATATATATAGAATATTTCCATGAATAATTAAGTTTACAACATGGACTCAACATTAAGGTGCTGAATAACAAAATAAAATATAGTGAATATACTAAGTGATTTTTTTTTAGGGCTAAGGCTAGTGCAGTTAGTATAAAACTTTTAAGTTAATAAATTGCATTTAGTATAAGACGCCATATCAGCCAAGGCATCAATAAATTCATCAGATTTTCATTAAAATAACTTGCTCTAATAATAAAATCTAAGTATATAATATGCTCAAAAAATAAATTGCAGGGAGTAAAAGTGAAGCGGACAGACTCATCACAATGGTGGGAACTGTTTGACATCAACACTCATAGGTTTTATTATTATAATGCTTCTACACAGGTGAGTTATCTACTGTAGGTATATATATGTAAAATTATTTAATGGTTGTGGTTGGTTAAGTAATTGGTAACAAAAGTTCTTGTTACAAAGATTATTGTGGCTTGGAATGTACATATTTTTTCTGCAGATAATTACTACTCACTATTGGTCTGTCTTTTTTGAGGAAGGGACTAAAATGACATTTGCGGGGTTGTCAGTTTCCTGAATATTTTATTTCTTTTTAACCGACTTTAAAAAAGGAGGAGGTTCTCAATTCGTCTGTGTTCTTTTTTTTGTATGTATGTTACGCGATAACTCCGGTATTTGTGAACCGATTTTCGTGATTCTTTTTTTGTTGGAAAGGGGGTACTTCCATAGTGGTCCCATTTCATTTTGAAGAAAAGTATCCACCTCGAAGGGTGGCTGTTCACGCATGAAGATCCATTTTTATAAATAGCACCTAACTTTAATTTAGGAGCAATTACTTTAATGGTTGATTTTGTTTTTTCTCCAATTCAAGGCGTTTTTCTCTCAATATACTTTGAGTAGTAAGAACCGATTTTTATTATCTCCAGTGTCAAGTCCTGTATAGTGGCGAACTAGGGGATATTTCAATAAAACTTAGCAAATAGACGTAATTCCACTTACTTTTGAGGTAGGTTTTTTATTTTTTTATTTATTTCTTTTACTTATGAGGGTACAAACAGCTTGTATCACAATATAATAGAACCTATATTAAATAATTACAAGCAAAAACAGTTCCCTACTGACAAAAATGCAAAAGCAAAATACAGCATTGACAACGCTAAACAATGAAACAACATTGTGCACACACACACACACACATGACACATTATAGAAACAATGTAACACTACGCAAATTAGATTACTTTAGTAATAAAAAATGGATTAGATAATACCTTCTTAACATGCGCAGTTTGTGGTAATCAAATCAAAATCGTAAAGTGCAGAAATTTTGTTAAAATTATTGATCGCACGCCATATAAACGAATTCCGTTTGTAATTTTGTAAAGCGACAGGTAAATGAATTAGTGAATCGTTACGTAAATGCTTAGCTCGAACTCTCAAGTGAATCTTAGACAGAAGCTCGGGGCAATCGACGATATTGGTGGTAATTTTAATGAGATAGTTTGTCTGTTATTTTACGCCGCAATTCAAGGGGAAGTATATCGTGTCTTTTGCAGACATCTAAATAGTTTGAAGAGCGGTAAGGCTGATTAATTTTAAAACATAAGTAACGAATAAATTTTTGCTGAATTCTTTCAATACGCGATGTTATACATTGGGTTCCAGTTCTGAGAGGCATACTCCAAGTTGCTACGCACAAGGGCACAGTATAAGATTTTTAGTTTGGCATCTTGAAAGCATCAACCGAACTACGCATCACGAATCCCAGTACTTTATTGGCTCTAGTAATTATGACATCAATATGAGTGTCAAAGAGCAATTTGGAATCGTGAATAACGCCGAGATCCCTCACAGTAGACACTCTTTGCAGCCTCTCTCCCTTCAGGACATAGTTGAAGTGAATGGGGTTACGCTTCCGACCAAATGTGACTACACTGCATTTTGACGCATTCAGGTCCTACTTAGTGATGGGCAGCCGGAAACTTTCCTAAATTGGAAACTTTCCAGTCTGAATGTTTCTTGAAATATTTCGGAAACATTCTCAAAACGCGAAATTTATGGAAATTTACATATTTACTTTGCATTTTTACTATCGCATATTCAAGAAACATTTAAGAAAAGTTATAGTTCTATATCATGGTTGTAAAACCAAAATACTTTTTTTGAAGAAATCGCAATAAATAAGTAAATTTCCGTAACTTCTCTTAAATGTCCATAAATTGCATGGAAAGTTTCCTGGAAATTTCATACTCATCAAAAGAATGAATGAAATAAATATTCGTAATCCACTTAGATTTTGCCACTTTTATACCGTATATGTATTAATAGTTAATATGTTGAAATTAGGGTATTAAATTTGGCACAGGAATCGTTTTCATGAACCTATTTAATTAAAAAATTTAAGAACGTTATTTGTTCTAATAATATATTGTTTGAGAGATTTAGAAATAATATTAAAAATAATGGTGGAATAATTTCTTTGGGCAAACAAAATTGGGCCAGATGACCAACAAAATTTTGACCGTACCATCAACTTCTGCAGCAGTGGAACGATCGTTTTCAACATTTGGGTACATACACACCACTAAACGCAACAAATTAACAACAGACAGGGCTGGAAAACTAAGTTACGTTTCACACAATTGGCGACTTTTAAACGCTCCACATAAAACAGCGAAGATTTCAGATCGATGCTCAATTGACCACCTGAACGCAGACATTGATTTGCTAACAGAACCTTATGATAGAAATGAGGACACATTATCAGTAGCTTCCTGTTCAGATACGACATCATGGAGCAGTGATGAGTTGCATACAGATTAGTATTAAGTTTTATATTTTATTTTGATTCTTAAGTTTTTTAATCCCAGTATTTTTCATAATTAAGAACCAATCTGTGATTTTGTTATTTGTTCTTGAGGTACCTATTTTAATTATAATTGTTGATGTTTGAACACTGAATAATTTTACTATAATATATGTTGATTATTTTGTAAATTGTTATTGTTGATTATATTTTAAAACTTTATTGGTGTACAAAGTGCGACAAGCTTCTTACATACCTATTGTATAGCATTTTTTTTTATTATTCAATTTTTCAATTTCAATTATTTAATACAAAGTTTTAAATCACCTTTGTTATGCATTATTTTGATCCCCACATTAAAATTATCTATAAAAATATAAAATAATGAAGAAGTTCTGAAAAATTTCCAAAAGTTTCTGAAATATTTCGTGGAAAGTTTCTATGAAATATAAGGAAATTTAAGAAATTTTGCAGTATTTGCACGAAAATGGATTTCTGTGGTATTAATAAGAATTAAAATGTGTCGATCAACTTAACTTCAAAATATTTCTTCATACGAAAAAAAACGTTTTTGCACCAAAGTATTCAACTTTTTATGTAAATTTCGCATTTGCGAAACATTCTCGCAATGTTTCCGAGAATATTTCCATTTTCGGAAATATTCTCGGAAATTTACCAACCCTAGTCCTACTCACTGTCCACACAATAACTCTCATCGCGATAAAGATCTACCTGTAACTTTTCCGCGTCAGATACACTAGTTAGTTTGGCGTATATCTTCACATCGTACATATCATCTGCGAAGCACAATAACCGAGATTATCGGAGGCACAGGCTAATATCGTTCATAAAGACCACAAATAGAACCGGTCCCAGTAAAGATCCTTGAGGCACATCACTAGGAACTGGTACCCAGCTGGAGACGTAATTGTTGATAACAATGGCCTGTGACCGATTGCTGATATATGAAGCGAACCATCTGAACAAGTCACCTCTAATGCCAATGTTAGCAAGTTTTTTCAAGAGTATAGAATGCTTAATTCGATTAAAAGCCTTACTGTAATCCGTGTAAACGGCGTCAACCTGGAATCCATGACCCATCGCATTAGTTATATAATTATTGAGCAGAACCAGATTTGAAGTAGTGCAACGGCCCTTAAGGAAACCGTGCTACGATGAACTAAAAAGATCCAGCCAAAGCAGCGTACAATTGATTGTAAACAAGCCTATCCAACACTTTTGCTATAACGCAAATCCTGGAGATCGGCCTGTAGTTAGATATATCCTGCTTTGAACCCTTCTTGTATACAAGAGTTATACAGGCACGTTTCCAAATGTTTGGTACTGTATATTCATTGATTGACCGTTTAAACAGAATGCAAATTGGAAACACGAGCGACTTAGCACAACTAATTAGTTTAAATCAGGTATGGGCAACCTTTAACATGTTGAGGGCCAAACTTTAGTATGCAAATAGGTTCGCGGGCCGCGTTTAAAAGTGCTTAGTGCATTTTAAAGTAATTAGTGTCAATAGATGTCAGACATAAAATAATATCACAATGTTATTCGAGTACTAGTACAATTTATTTAAAAAATGAACTTTAAAAAAATGGTACAACATCATATCGGTAAATCGATAAATTTGCAATTGCTACAAACTACGAAAGTCAATCAATGAGACACTTGAGCTTGAATTTGGGAAACTAATCCATCGATATTTGGATTAATTCCACTGATACAAACACGTAAAGAATTTTCCAAATTATCGTCAGTCAGTCTTGTACGATGTGTTGATTTATTAATTTTCCTCATCGAAAAGAACTGTTCGCATTTATAAGTACTGCCAAAAACACAAATCAATCTTCTTGCGAATTTTCTAAGCTGCGAAAAATTGTCTTCTAGGTATTTTTTGTAGAAATCGCACAACTCTACTTCTTCAAATTTAGATTTTAGGAGTGAGTTTTCTTGAATTTCGATCAACTCCATTTGTAAGTGTATTGGAGCATTTTGTACATTACTTTTTGTTGGATTTGCAAATAAACTGAAACAGTCTTCCATGTTTTTGAAATCGCTAAATCTGTTCGAAAATTGTTCCAACAGTAACTTGAGTTCTTCAGCATATTGAGCATAAGCAATATTTTCATACGTAGAGAGCGTGTTGAAATGGTAACTATTACCAGATAGCATCTGTGACTCCCACAAGCGCAGTTTGACCTGAAATGCTTTCAAATGGCTGTACAAATCATTTACTAGCTGTCCTTGTTTTTGTAGTTTCAAATTTAAATCATTCAAATAGCCTGTTAGATCGACCACAAATGCTAAGTCACATATCCATTTTGGGTCACTCAATTCAGATAGTGGTTTATCTTTTATTTTCATAAAGTCTGCTGTCTCATTTCTAAGCTCGTAAAACCGTTTCAACATTTTTCCTTTGCTCAGCCATCTGACTTCACAATAATATGTTACGTCGTTATATTCAGCGGATATTTCATCCAAGAACCCCTTGAACTGACGATGGTTAAGCCCTCGAGATCGAATAAAATTGATGGTTTTTACTACCACATCCATAACATGCTGGAGTCGAATGGACTTAGAACACAAGTTCTGTTGGTGGATAATGCAATGAAGGACTATCAAATCATCTTTTTGCACATTTAATGCTGTTGCTTTTTCAATTAAAATTCCGATGAAACCTTTACGTAAGCCGACCATAGAAGGTGCACCATCAGTGCATACTCCCTTTAATTTTGACCATGGCAAGCCAAATCTTGTGAATACCTTTTGATCTTCATTAAAAATATCCTCCCCTGTAGTGGTTCCTTTTAGCGGCTGTAAAGCAAGCAATTCCTCAGTAACAGCGAACTCCTTATCAACACCTCGAATAAATATAGCCACTATTTTATAGTGTCCGACAAATCCGTGCTCTCGTCTAATGCTATGGAAAATGATTCAAAACCAGCCATACGGTCAGTCAATGTTGTTTTTATATCATTAGCCATCATTTCTATACGTCGAACAACGGTTCGTCTTGACAAACTAATTTTTTCAAATTCATTTTTCTTTTCAGGACACAAAACACTGCAAACTTCTAACATACACTCCTTAATAAATTCTCCTTCGGCAAATGGTTTTAATGCCTTTGCCAATTTTGAGCTAACTATAAAACTAGCTTTCACAACATTATCAAGTTGTGTTCTTTGTTTATGAAACATTTGTTGCTGTTTTCCAAATTTGCTGTAAGCTTCTGGATTTTGTCTGTTCTTAATTGTCCTGTCAGTGAGTGTAGCGCAGTATGCTTAGTTAAGTAATGCATCTTTATATTGAATTCTTTCATTACTGAAATGGATTCATTACACAGCAAACAAATAGGCTTACCATTGTGCAAAATAAAAAAGAATTCTTCAGTCCATTTTTCTTGAAACTGGCGTCTCTCTGTATCTACTTTTCGTTTTTTTCCACCAGACATCATTTTTGTTAACTTTTCGTTCTTTAAACTTAATAACAATACAAACTATAATTAGTACACAACCACTCAAGATGCACACAAAGTTCACGGCTCAAACAGTTCGCTAGAATATCGCTTGTCGAAGTTATCACCTCGGTAGCTCGAATAGAACTGCACAAATGTTCGGGCCATACACCCGCTTATATAGGCAAAATGAAGGAATATTCTGGAATAAACTAGTTTTAGAATAATTGAGAAGCAATATGTCTTTGATGTTTGCCGCCCGTGAGGTGTCGGGCGGCAAACATCAAAGACTTTGATCGAGTAAGCCGAGCCGGCGATTATCAAAGAGTGAGGCGGCAAACATCAAAGGATTAGATGTTTGGGGCTTCACTGTCGCTGTGAGTGTAAGTACCTAGTTTAATATTTTTTCATTGAGTTTTTTTTTCAAAATGTCTCGCGGGCCGGATTATATCTTACAGCGGGCCGGATGCGGCTCGCGGGCCGCATGTTGCCCATATGTGGTTTAAATAGTCATGTAGTTGTTGTCGACAATTTTATTAATAGATTGAGAAAGAAAGTAAAAATTTTGCCAAAAATGTCTAAATGATTGCTAATTGCGTTATTGCCTTGATTCCTATTTTGACAGTTGGTCTTCTAGTATCGTAATATAGGATAGGCGAATTTGATTAAATAAAAAACTTGAAATTATGTGTCGCTTTGTATTTTTAATAGACATGTTTCTTAATGTAGTGTATGTATGTATGAATGAACTTGTGATAATGGTGACTCCATCATCGTCCCACCTTTTTATCACTCTCTTTACTGAGTGCTGTCCACTTACTTTTAAAATTTAGAATCTTTGTCGAATTCCTTTTCCTTCCACTATTCTTACATTCGTTCATTCCGTCTTCACTTCCTTCAAAATTCTCGAAGCGAAACGACGTGCTTATTAATCATCATGTAAAACTCAACTTCACGTATTTAACCGTTTTTAAAGCGTTGGATGTTTATAAGTGTATAGGCCCTCCTGGACCTTATAGTACCTGGACTTTATAGTTTAGTAATAGTAGGGAGTGTTTTATATTGTTTGTACTTTTTTATGTCAATGTATTCTTTTTGTTACAGCCATTTCCTTTCATTTTCTACTTCTAATAAATTTATGTGGACAGAGCCCTTCTTTTACTTTCGCTAGGCCAGGCCAGAAACATACAAAAATTGTCTTTCAAATAAACCTATAGCCAGCAGTTAGACAATTAAAATCATCATCGGCTCTTTACCAACGTAACGTAAGCGTAACCAACATTCAGTCAATAGTCGATAAAATATTGATTGACTGCAAATTGTAATCACTAGCTGCTTGAAAGCAGGCAACACTTTTGCGCAGTTAACTGTTATTTTACTCCATCTTCAAAAAAGACAGACTATGGGTGGGTTCTAGACACCGAAAAAGTAAATATGCTTGCTTAATTTATTACCTAGTCTGTTGCTAAATTCAGTCTTGTTATTACTATTGACTCAATATTACAATTGTATTGTATTTTCAGACAACAGTGTGGCATAGACCGACAGACTGCGACATCATCCCTCTAGCTAAATTGCAGACCTTGAAACAAAATACAGACCCTCAAAAAAGACGAGAGACATCCACACAAACAAACCAAGCAGCTCCTCAGGTGAATATCTTTTTTTAATCATACGTTACATCTACTAGGGATTAAATCTGCTGGGCTGGACATGGCTGAAAGAACTCTAGAACCAACTGGTGAATACTGCAATGTCAACAACTGAAGTTATATTTGTTGCGCATCAAGCAGAAGACTTTAGGAGGAGGTTAAGCAGGAAACCCTAGGTCAGCACGCCATCGAATCATGAGTGTTCGTTTTTTTATATAAAATCTATAAAGATTTACGAGATAAGACTTGAAAAGATGCATACGACAAGCTAAGCCTATGGGATTATAGTTTTGCTAACTCCATCAACCCATAAACCTTTCATTGTTGGGCATAGATGTGTCTTCGCCGGTGAGCAGGTTCATAGTCCAAACCCTATGGCCCTATGGATGATGACTTCAAGGAGGTTAAAATAACCATAGTAAACTATTTTTTTTAAATCGCAAATATGAATATCTCTTGCTAATATGATAATAATTTTGTCTCATAGGGTGATTCAAGTAACCTCGTAAAATTGTCATATTTATGTGATTTCTATTTCAAGTGTTTAATTAAACTATTTCTGCGTAATTTATTAATAATTTATTATGTAAAATTTAATACTTTTTTTAAATATAAAAAATAAGTGCGTATTTGACCTCCATCTCACCCGGTGAAAAGTGACGATGAGGTCGAGGATGTAGCATGCACGCCTATAATAATAATAACTATTCTCTCTCGCCTTGAAAATACCTAAGTTTGTTTCTAAATTTGTACCGCTATTATTCACTAGTGCTGTCGAGAAAACAGATCTAAACAAGTAAAGTTAGACAGTTACTAGTAACATAAAATACGAGAAACATTTCATTCTGAAATTGATGAGAATTAGGTTCAATTTATATTGCGGCGGATAGGAATGGAAGCGAATTTTTGTTACGATATTGTACAGTACATTATACTAGTTTGCATGTTACACAATTGACCATAAAGTACTTTATGCCATACAATACAATACAAATTTTTTTTATTGTACACCAAAAAGGAAAACAAATCAAATATAATTAATATTAAATTTTTTGCTATATAGTATCGTTACAAAAATTCGCTTCCATTCCGTTCCGCCGCAATATAAGTTAAGTTTTAGTGAGCTGGGTAACTGTTGTGAGGTTTGCGGTCTCTGTTTCCTGCATGAAGAAATTCCTTCTTGTCTGGGGAGACCACTGCGCGTCAGTGGGGCGTAAGTGGCTTGATACGCATCCCAACTTAGAACATTCGCGTACTTAACTTGAACAAATGTAAAGATTTCGGAAATATATAGCGTTGATAGTTTTCGATCGCTATATAATTATTCTGCCTTTGAAAGAAAGAAAGGCACAGTAGTGAATTCTAAATTCGGAGATAAATGTGTTGAAATATTTGTGAGGGTTATCTGATAAAAAGTATAGTTAAAATATACTTTGATATTAAGTAGTTTATTTATGTTACAAATACATAGCACATGTTTTATACAGAAATTTTCATTGTATTTTAATTAGCCGTTCTTAAAAACATTGTATTTTAATTAGCCGTTCTTAAAAACACCCTAATTTTCTCTTTTAACTTAGTAGAAAACAATATAAAAATATTATTACTGCATATAAAATAATTTAAATGGGACTTGACTTAATTATTGATGTCAGTTTTGCCCTTTTAGCTTGCAGTTATTATATAGTTATTGTTCAACAATTATTGTGTGTGTTGGACCCTTTTTCGTTCTGAAGGCAGTATAGATACATTTACTCTAGACAAGTAGTCAGCATAAATATTAATGTATTGCAGGTACCACTAGACCTAGTAAGTAGCAATGGCAACAGCACGTTGGCAAGCGCCAGCAAACTATCGCCTAGCAATGCCAAAAATGTCACCCTTACCCAGACCAGCCCAGTGAGGACGAGACGCTCGCATTATCATCATAGGTAAGATGGATGTTTTTCAAGTAAAGGATAGTAAACAATGGTGGTGTTGTATGTAGGTATGCATAAGTTGTGTGGCTGTGTCAACCGCTCAATGACAGCGTGGATAAGGCAGTGCGCTCCGAGGAAGCGGTCATTTCTTGTTTCATTTAATTTCTAATTACTAAATATGCTTTATTTCAAAACCAATAACTATTGGTCTTATATGGAAGTTCTATAAAACAAATCGAATTCCTTTAAGTTCGCTTAGTTTGAAATTTGATATAATTTTTGTTTGTATCAAAACAACACAAAAGTTTGATGCCTTTCATATTATTTCGCTATGCTGTGTATATTTAGTCGGTTGCAAACTTAACATTTAAATTCCACTATATGCCACTCATGATAAGAACGTGTAAAGCGTGTGTTGCCGACGACTATTTGTTATAATCACCACACTTGTCAGGCAGATTGTCAATTCCATTAGAGGCGCAATAAAATACACGAAGTTCTCCTGAATGAATCCATTAATCGCTTTTCGCAATGTTATGATTATTAATTAGTAAAATGTTTTTGTAGGAATAGCGGCGAGAGCAGACGCGGCCGGTTAAGTGAAGATGGTACCTCTCAACTTTGTCGACACACCGACTCGGGTCGTTCATCCGATAGCAGTATCAGCAGTGCTCAGAGAAGGAAACAGGTGGGTGCTATAATTAAATTATTATTGATTCAAAGATCGAACAAATAGAAAAATTACTTGGATCCGATTGTATTAGAACCCGTGTCTGTTACCTCAACTTGGTTAGCCTCTTACCAACAGAGCTATAGAACGAGCTGAGCAGATCTTACAAATTTCTCTATTTTATATTTGAATCTATAATAATAACAAAGTAGTGGAGTATTTTCAAAAAAATTGACGAATATCATGGTAGTAAAAACACAATGATATTTAATAAAAATTAATAAATATTGATATTCAATTGATGTTAAATATTTTTAATGACTTGAAGCCACTTCAATTCGGAAAACACTGCTTACATTACTGAGAGATCATTACATAAAATATAGTGAGGACCACTGACAGCTTTTGCAGACATAAAAAAAAAATACGTAGGCATATCATAATTATACCAGACAACTTTAACAGCTATTTCTCAGCAGCATAATTTGGGATCTTAAGCTGACCGTTGAAATTTTACACTTATCTCTGTAATGTTATGTTCTAAGGTAGGAAATGTAGACGAGATGTAGGCGTGACTTGACACATAGGGTACTTATTATTTCGAGCAAGATCGAACTAGCTAGTGTTATATAAAGTTTTGATATTGTATGACGTATTCGAATGATAATTTCAGGAGTTAAATGCAGCCGCTTGTAACGCACCTATATGTACACCGCAGCTTAAGAAAAGAAGCAGTGCTGTCACGCCTCATGAGAGGGAGGGCGAGAAATGGTCACCGCATTCCGGTAAATATTCGAGTTCTATCGATAAAACATGCCCAAAAAATATGATTTTTTTAAATTAAGAATTAGAAGTTTTCACTTTCATTACATCATTTTTTATCATCAACTCGTTACGTGCCACTAGTGGGCACGGGTCTTATTTGAGAGAGTAACAAGGGCGTCTTCTAGTTAGACGCTTGTAGAAGCACTGCAGTGGAGCGACGATTGCGCGGCAGCTGCGCGTCTATAACGCTTCAATACTTTCACTAATTGTGACTGCAAAAGTGGTGCTCGCGTGTCACGACAGTGGCGCTGCAACTGCCTTTCTAAATATTGTATGAAAATTAGTAGTGGCGCGACTTAAGCTTAAGCCTGCAAATGTGCAACCAGTGCCTAAAAAAGGAAGCAGAGCTGACCCTGTCAACTATAGACCTATCTCAGTCACTTCCATACTCTGCAAGACTATGGAACGTGTACGTAACAACCGTCTCCTGTCGTACCTTGAAGACAACGATCTCCTCAGTGATCGCACAATACGGATTCCGAAGAGGGCGATCTACTGAGGATCTTTTTGTGTATGCCTCTCACTTATGGAGCGAGGCTATAGAAGAGCATGGCGAAGCCATTGCATTGTCTTTAGACATTTCTAAGGCCTTTGACAGGGTCTGGCACGCAAGCCTTTTAAGCAAGCTTCCCTCTTATGGGCTTCCCACTGATCTTTCCAATTGGATTTCGGATTTCTTGAGTCTTAGAAGGCTACTCTTCCGAACATAGGGCGATAGTTCCTTGAGGGCCGGAGTTCCTCAGGGTTCTGTAATGTCCGCAACCCTCTTTCTGCTACATATAAACGATATGTTGATTCCAGGTACCTTTGGGTATGCTGATGACAGCACAGTTGTGGAGAGGTACTTGACCAATGCAAGGGTCATTTTAGAAGAAATCCAGTCTTGTCGAGAGTCTATGGTTAGTCGTTTGAATTTGACACTTAAGGCAGTCTTCGATTGGGGCGATGCCAATCTTGTCAAATTTAATGCTACCAAAACGCAGGCGTGTCTTTTCTCCACTAAATGGAGTCCCTTTCACCGACTCCGACTTTTCGTGATAAATCCACACCAACCGACCGTCTTCACCTACTTGGAATGAACCTGTCGTCCAATCTGAACTTCGGCAGTTACATTGAATCCGTGGCCAAAAATGCAGCTATGAAGCCTGGCATCCTTTACAAGGTGAGGCGATACTCCACACCGGGACAGTTGCTTCAGCTGTACCAAGCACAAGTCCGGTCGTGTATGGAGTACTGCTGCCACTTTTGGGATGGCACTGCTAAATACCAGCTGGCTACCTTGGATTCAATAGACATGCGTGCTAAGAGGCTTATTGGTGACTTGGAACTAGTAGAGGCGAAGCTGCAGAGCCTTGAACACCGCCGTAGAGTTGCCAGCTTATCGGTATTCTACAGGATATATCACGGAGAGTGTGCGATGGAATTGCATAATTTGATTCCGCCTTCCCCTTTCCATCATCGGTAGACTAGACGTGGGCGGGAGTTCCACCCCTATGTTGTGGATATTCCCCGGATTCGCACGAAGCGTTTCGCTTCCACATTTGTATGGCGAGCGGCTAGGGAGTGGAATTCCCTGCCTGCAGACTTGTTCCCCGAACACTATAATTTGGGCCTTTTCAAGGCGAGAGTGAATAGGCATTATTTAGATGTGCATGCTACATGCTCGACCTCATTGTCACTTTCCATCAGGTGAGATGGAGATCAAATGCGCACTTATTTCTTATAAAAAAGATTACGCCACACCAGCGCCATTGCAACGCTTCTAATTTGAAAACGCCCTAAGATCCAATGCTGGTTGGGGTTATCACACGTTTTTCAACTGTCTTCGACAAGCAGATTTCATCTCGATGTTTCATTTCCATTTTAGCGAGAGGTTACTCTACATTCGTAAATGTATGTGACTCAGAAATTAAAGTCATAGACAGGTATACGCCACGAAAGAAAAAACACAAGTTTTATTTGTTTTCATTGTTTTTTTTTATTAAAAAATAAATAAAAACGCGCATTTGACCTCCATCTCATCTGATGGAAAGTGATTCACTCCATAGCCGTTGGCAATATAAACGTGGAAGCGAAATGCTTCGTGCTAATGCTTGGAATATTCACAACATAATGGTGGAACCCCATCACACGTCTGGTCCACCCAAGATGGAAAGGGGAAAGGCGAAACTATATTGTCCATTTCCCTCGCACACTATCCGTGATATATTCTGTAGAATACCGATGAGCAGGCAACTTTACGGCGGTGTTCAAGGCTGCACCTTCACTTTTACTAATTCCGAATCGCTTATAAGCCTCTTAACACGCTTTTCCAATTGAATCCAAGGTGGCCGCTTCGTATTTAGCAGCGCTATCCCGTAGGTAGCAGCAGTACTCCATACAGAAGAAGCAATTGTCCTGGTGTGAAGTAATGCCTTGGTACCCTGGAAAAGGTACCAAGCTTCCGGGCTGCATTTTTGGCCATTTATTCTCAATGAGAGTCTGCTGAAGGTCAAATCGACGACAGGTTCATTCCAACTAGCTCGACATGATCGGCTATCGCTATGGATATATCACGAAAAGTAGAAGTCTGGTCAAAGGGTCCCCATTGTTTGGAGAATAGACACGCCTGCGTTTTGATAGCTGTAAATTTGACAAGATTGGCATCGCCCCAATCGGAGACTGTCTTAAGTGTCAAATCCAAACGACTAATCATGGACTCTCGACAAGATTGGATTTCTTCACCACTGACTTTTGCATTGGTTAAGTACCTTGCTGCAACTGTTCTGTCAGCATACCCGAAGGTACCCGGAATTAACATATTGTTGATATGCATCAGAAAGACAGTTGCGGACAGTACGGAACACTGAGGGACTTCGGCATCTATTGCCGGATGTTCGGAAGAGTAGCCTTTTAAGACCACTCGAATCGAACGTTTCCTCAAGAAATTGGAGATCCGATTGCAAAAGTCAGTGGGAAGCCCATAAGAGAGAAGCCTGTTTAAAAGGCTCGCGTGCCAGACCCTGTCAAAGTCTTTAGAAATATCCAAAGACACTGCAATCGCTTCGCCATGCCATCTCACTCCATAAGAAGATCCGCGATAGGTCGCCCTCGTCGGAAACCATACTGATGATCACTGAAGAGGTCATTCAGTCAGTTCCATAGTCTTGCAGAGTATGGAAGTGACTGAGACAGGTCTATAGTTGACAGGGTCAGCTCTGCTTCTCTTTTTGACACAGGTTACATGTTTACAAGTTTCCACGACCTGGAAACTACACCAAGTGAGAGGCGAACAGGCAACAATGATAGTGCCTTAAGCGTCGATTTTTATCGGAAACCGCTGTCGCCAAATCTCATACATTCATAATTCGAAACACTACGAAAACTTGATAATGGTTGGTGGTAGTTTCAAATTTAAAAAGAAATAAATTCTGGACTGTTTAAACTTTACTCTAGGCATATCGTTGAATACCAATTACTGCAAGTTACGACGTTTTGATTTTGTTGAAATTTCAATCAATGTGCTGCCATCTAGCGGGTAATAGCTGAACGACGACGGGTCGAGATATTTAGTTCTCCAAAAAAGGAGCGACCATATTGCACCGGTGTAAGGTTTAAAAACTTGAAATTGTGATTTGCCAACGTTAATACTTTAAAGTGAAACAACCCCGTCATATTAAAACAAAAGAGTGGTCTTGGAATCGAACCTCGAGTATTAGTAATTTGCAGGCTGTACACCAAGCAGCTCGATCAATTTACATAGAAGTTAAGCGACGGAATTTAGTAATGGTTTTAAATATAAGTTGAACATCTTTAAGCAAAACTCCAACATATTGCCTATAAAGTTGAAATTCCTTTAATTTGTCTGTTTAATACGTAAGATGGCTCTCAGAAACAAAAGGTCGGTTTGGGCATATTGGGGGGGTCAGGTATCTTGTGTAATAGAGTGTACCATACCGCTGTCTACTAGACTTTCACCGCTCTTACTTTGATTTGTTCCTTGTATTTTAATGTTCTGTACTCTCTTTTAGGTTTAAATCGCAGTGGAAGTTTCATCTCGCCACGGAAAGACGCCTCAGATGATTCAATGCACGAGAAGTACTTTAAATCTGTCGAGAGTACACCTTTGACTAGACGCAAGGTAATCGTTACATGAAATTGCCGTAAAGTACTTAGAATACTTTGTTATAAGCATTTCATATTAAAAAACCAGACATTATACTGAAGAGAAGAGATGCGATTCACTTTGTTCTAACTCAATTGAGAAACTAATTTTATTCATGGAAATCCCTGGAAAAGGTGATCCAAGAATACAATGTACAAAGTTTAAATTATTTTTATTTGCAATTGAAAAGCTTCTGTACCCTCGGGATCATATGCAAATTTTGTCGTTTTAGTTAAAACAACAATCAGCCGGGGGTTCTTCGTGCGAGTCCGCGTCACCTCAGAGTCCGAGCAGTCCATTGCAGAAACCACAACCTACTCCATTTCTTCAGGTATACATGTTATAAGAATTTCAACTGCTCAAATCTACTGCTAAATCGATGATTCCTATTGAAATTTTGGTTTTACATAAATGAAAAAATCCACATTATACAGATTAGTACCTTATGTAAATACATATTTTATATAATGTGTTGATTTGCATTCTCGCCATATTTACAGAGATCATTCTATATGTGAAACTGAACCCAAATCAGTGAAAAAATATGAATCGGAAAAAAATCCTAAATTCTTATTTTTTATTTCATTGCGGTAAACATCGATTCGCAAACTCCAGATCCTGCTTGATCCATCATTGACATGCACGGCACGTGTTTAGCTTATAGCGCAGCCGAAGGAACGGAGAAAGTATTGCTATCTCTTTGTTCTCAAACGGAGCACACGACTAGTGCGTTCGCTTACGCATAAGGACAAGGTAGTAGATAATAATAATAATAAGTGTAGATAATAGCTGAACTTGCCGCAATTCCAGTGACCTATTAGCTACTCTCTCTTGAAATGCGTGGCATTTCGTGGTTTGGTATGTAAACAAGATTTAGTGTAAAAAAGAACAACTACTAGGCTCACCAGAACCTGCATTACCTTCAAGTGCAAGTGCATGACTATTCTTACGGCGATGTGAAACTTTTTGTTTACGCGGAGGAGATTACGAAGGTCGAACAAGGTCATCAGTTATATTTAGACCAAACTCCCTTCTCCCCTTGTTCTTGCACCAACTATTCCCAGTACCTTGTTGTGTTAACATTTTTAACAGATTGTAAGTATCATTATCGTGCAAAAATAGGGACGTACGGTTTTGTTATAAAAGTTCACACCTTGATCAATCAGGAATCAATAGATAGACACAGTCATATCGAAAAAATCACAGTGGACGTTTCTGTTCGAGAAAAGCAACTATAAACCTTGAACATTTCAGACGTCGGCTGCTCGCCCATCTCTGGTGTCATCGATATCTCTGGCGACAGACGCGGCGGGCGGCGGCTCTCGCGTCATGCACAGCCTTGAAAGACCGCACCAGCTGTCACGACACGCACGTGAACGATATTCTGATAGGTTAGTATTCTTTGTACTGTAACTCAAAACAGCTGAACACGGGCCTTTAAAGGAAGGGTGATGGTCACAGTCCACCTCGCTTGTTCTGGACTTGGACATTTTTTCGAAATTTTTTGTATATTTCTTAAGAATTTCAGTTTCAATCATAATTTAATTTTAATGTTGATTAGATAAGGTTGATTTTTATTAAAATTGTTCAGATATGATGATGGCTTAGATCAATGAAAGACTTCGCAGTTTCTTTCGCTTATCGTTCTGCAATAATCATCGATAGTTCGATTAACTTCATTAGAAAACAACTGGGGAAGCGTGATGTCACTCTATCGGCATTAGGAGATTGCATAATTTTTATTTTACAATATTCTATAATGTGAATCAGATATATTTCTATGACCACGTCTTTAATTTTTTAATCCGCTTACTAATTTATACTACTAAACTACAGTAACTAATTAATTTTTAAACATTTTCCGTCTGTCTTCAATCGCTTCAATCGCAATTCTTTCACCAGACATTTAGACAAAGACCGTATAGCGGAGCTGGAACGCATGGACCGGTATCCGGAGAAACAAGCCGTGTACAGTGTCGACAAGCCCTTCCGTCAGACAAGCCTTGATCTGCGTCACAACCCTGCTTCGTCTAATTGGCAACCTTCTCGAGAGTTCACGAGGTAACCACTGCTTACAAGAACTATTCGTGAGTCATAATCACAATGCAAAACAGACTACACCGAAAGATAACAATGTGCCAAAATTCTTTGCTCAAAATGTACCTATTTTTCATATCTCAACAATTTGCTACATAGTGACAATTTGTATTGCTTAACCTGTGACGATAAGTAAAGTTACGATTGAAATAGTTTTTGAATCTAGTAGTTTTTCAATATAATTTTTTTTTGTTGCCTGTGTTTAGAGGGAAAATCTAAGTGCCATAGCATAGGATTACATTTTTACTTGTATGTTTGTAAATTTTGAATGATGGTGATTTGAAGACGCCAACAAGCGGAGCCAGAACGGTACTCCTCGAGCAAAACATCCATATCGTCGGGCAGTAGCAAGCACCGTACTCCGCCTCACGAGCCGCACCACAACTTCATGCGACTCGCCTCCAGTGATCAGGATAACATGGCTGCCGGTACTGAATATATAATTTATTTGACTTCCACAGCACTCACCAAAAATGTTTATAAATTTGTCGGGATCAACTTGTACCATTGAAAACTATAGTCTTAACCCGTCACGCGTCCTAGAGACACGTGTGTCAGAGTGAGTCAGTGAATGATTTTAATGTTGTATAGGCCAGTGTGTGTTAGTTGCCTGCTGGATTGAATCGAAAGAGAACATACTGTAGTCTAATAATAATGGTTTAAAAGAATTAAGTACAAAGTGGTAAGTAAAAGTGTATTTCGTGGCACATTTGTCTTGATGTACTACTACCTTTGAACATATTGAACTCGCCAAGTAATGCACTTCTACGTATCATTTTACTAGTGTGAACCGGCCATTAGATGAACTGCTGAAGTGAAGTCTTTTGCAATAATGGTATAGCGCATTACTGAGTGCAACTGAGCCTAAACGTAATATTTTATCCTAATATTATTCGTTTATTTTCAGTGAACTACAAAATGAAATGCGTGACTATGGAGCCGCCACTGACGGAGCCGAATGTTCAAAAACATAACCAACGGCTCGAAAGTACATCTACCCCCAAAGATCGCACTAAATCGAGACGTGAGTACGTAGGGTGTTAAACACAGTAATCTTTAAAAAAAAATGTTATTTGGTATCTGAGACTATTCTCTAAACAAATAAACACTAAGTTTTAATTGGTAATAAAAATCTTTGGGTGATATGTATTGCATCGATGCGCTCGCTCTTTCGTGAAACGCGCGAGTGCATCGATGCAATCGCCTATAAATCTCAAGTGTAGCTACGCAATCGCGCATTTGTGTCGAGCGCATTTGTATCAGTCGCGCGCTTCCATCGCTGCTTAAAATCGCGTGCGTGTGTAAAGGTAGACGATTAGCGGCACCATCGCTTCTGCATCGCTTTTGTATCGCTGCTAATAGTCGCTGTGTGTAACCGCTCTAAGACATAACCGGTTGATGACTTACCATCTCAGTCAGCGGTGACCATGGTACCTGTAAGGAACCTGAAATGTTGATTTGTTCTAAAAAATTCATATACGCTATTTAGATCCGAAAAAATTGTTAGTAAAAAACAAACAGTCAATGGAGTTTTTTTTGTAGGATGTTAATTTATTAAATGTTCTTGGCTTATTTTGTGTCTAGTCTATCATCAAAATGCATAATGCTTTATTTCTCTCAGAAAGGTCTGTAAGTAGTTACATTTCACGTATAATAACAAGTTCCTTAGTGAGAGCTGAAGTCTGTACTAGATTGGGCACCTGTGTTACAGATCACCAGACTCACTCCCTCTAGCTCTATAAAGAAGGTAACATTATTTAAAAAGATACGATCATATTACAAAGTAAAGCGTAGCATAACAAGAAACAAGAGTTATGTGTGTGCGTGAGCGATTGTGAGTGAGTTTGCATGTGTGTGCGTGCGAAATTTAATAAAAAATAATAAATTGTTACGAGAAAAATAATTCAAGGATAATTTTGTCTATGTGTGGTGACGCTATATATGAGAAATCGTTGGTTTTGCCGTCAATAGCTCGTGGAGAGCTGCAGGATAGGTAAGCTCGCAAGAAAACGTAGACCGTGCTTTCAGATCCGGTGTCCAAAAGCTCGACGTTCACATTGCTGCACAATTATTTTCGGGCTTCAAATAACTCCACGACGAATTGCGGTTCACGGCAGAGGCGCGGTTAGATAGTAAACATTTGCGGAGAATGCGGACACGAAATTATCTTGTTCGATACGTAATGTCACACTGTTTTTTACGTCACTGCGGTTGATGCGGCTTTGGCGTAGCACAGATTAGGATTTTGAGAAGGTAGGAAAAGGAGATGCGAGCTCAGACGTAAACTATAAGCCTGATGAAGTCAAGATAAATATATGGCGTTACCGCTATGTGTGAGCGTATAAATATATGTGCATGTGAAATTCTTGTTATGTGGGCTGCAGGCCTTATCTTTAAGAGTAATAAATTCTAGCAAAATCTTTTTAAGGTTACAGTTTAGTATGGAATGCAATCAAAATTTTTCAGAGTAGCCATAATCAAATTTTAAAACTAAATTTTGGCTAGTACAGAATAACTAATTTTGTTTTTTCGTTGTCAGCCTTTTATCGATACAACCGTTAACATTTAAGTATCTGTACAGGCCACAAGAGGCCAGTGGAACTGGAAGAGCCGCATCTAGATGATGAAGAAGAAGACGAAGATGGACGCACTTCACCGCTCTATTCTAACTGGGATCTCCGAGGAATGCAGCATCTATTGCCTTTACAGGACTATATTATACAGCAAGCTAAGTTATCCAGTGAGTATTTTATGTTACAATATGTTTACCAATATGAATATTAAAAATCCCATGTTATATACGTATGTGTTGAACTCGAATTACTAGAAAAATTTAATAATATTATTGTATATATTCATATACATTCTAAAGAGCATCATTGTGTCAACTGTCATTTTTTAATTTAAATATTCTTTAGGTCGCGGCCGGTACGGTAACGGATCCGGTTCGGACGGAGAATCTGCGTCTTCCCGATCACGTTCCCGGTCCGGCTCCGAGTCCCGTTCCCTCTCCGGTCACGAACCAGATAACGAGTCGTCTGACGGCGGCGCTAGAACGCCGGATGATGATGATGGATCTGGAGTCTATCTTCCGCATTCTTACGGACATACTCGACCTCAAGATGTAGAATATATGAACCATGGGGTCGCTTATTATAATACTTTTGTCGGATTTGATCGGGACAGACCGCCGTCGCCTGGAATACATAGGGTGAGTTTAGAAACTGTACATTAACTGTCAGTTTATGGCGGTTTTTACAAGGAATTTTATTTTTATAATACACTGGCGTCTACAGTCTATATAAAATTATGTGATTACTCTTGCATTGATATAAAACTTATTTT